GAGACTCCTTAAGCCACTCTTGCCTGCTGTGTCATTTCTAGCTCTGTTGAGTGTGACGAGGCAGAGGCTCGGGGGCTAGGGCAGCTTTCATCATTACAGTACCTCATAGAACAGATATCGCTAAAAACTGGCAGCCCTTCTGGGTTTCTGAGGAAGTGGGGAAAAACAGTACATCCAGACACGGAGTTTGGGTTGTTTTGCTCTTGTCTCCTTCTCTCACTGGAGATAGGACATCCTGCCTCAGAGCAATGGCGCCCTAGGGAGTCATCTTCACAGTGAATCCCAGAGCTTCTGGGCCTATGCAGGTATCCAGAGTGTTTGCTGTGCCTTGTTCACTTAAGATAATGTCGTCAATGCGGTGGATTAGTGTGGTGGCCCATGGAGTCTGCGTGATCATGGTCCCTCATCTTCTAGAGCGTATTATGACAACGCTGCAAATGTTGCTCTCTGGTCTGACCGTGAATGACAGGTACTGCTGTGTCTGCCATGTGATAGCAAACCGCATCTCATTGTCCTTACTGATGCTGTTACGAAGGAGGACATTTACCAGGTCATGAGCCAATACACTCGCTAGCAGGGATTACGCTAACAGTCGTCATCCCAAAGTACCTCCTCTGGGCTTGCATCCGGAATTAGTAGTGCTACCTGGTTAGATCTGAGTGACCCATAGCCATGCTCCAAGATTTGTTTTGGTTCTGGCCCAGGTGCTCAGGCAGTTTAAGTGAGGTCATGATAGGATTAACACTTCTGATTCATCAGCTTTTTGATAGTGATACTGACTTCCGAGCTCACAAGGGATGGTGGGCGGAGTGCTTTTCTTACTTTCTTAGTGAGAATAGAGTGGTCAGTTCTAAGGCCTGTAAGCCAGGAACTAAAGCTGCTGACAAACTCTAGATTCCTGTCAGAGGTTTCTCCAAGGCTCTTTCTCTTGTAATAGCTTTTTTGACAAGACAAGGATGTATTATCGGTGATATGGTTAGTGACTCTTATATATGTTTCTAATAAAATTCTAGGATGAGGGAAATAGACCCAAGATAAATCTGTGGTTGCATTGAGCCCACCAAGATTCTAGGCCAGTGCCTCTTACACTGTCTTTAGGAGCCCCACTCTAACTGGTAAAGCACATTTTGGGTCCCCAGATCTTAGTGTCAGTTCAGAGATGGTGTTCAGTAACTTTTAGAAGAGTTTTGTATTTCCCTTTCTACAGGCTACAGTAGCTATAGATCCTGAGGTGATAACAGATCACTCTTGGGAAAAGCCTTGAAGGAAGATCAGCAGTCTATCTATGGCTGTGTGGCTTTTTTTATTTTATTATTTTAATTTTTTTAATGTACATTGAGGTTTTGCCTACATGTATGTCTATGTGAAGATGCCAGATCTCCTGGAACTGGAAGTTACTGTGAGCTGCTGTGTAGGTGCTGGGACTCGAACCAGGGTCCTTTGGAAGAGCAGTCACTGCTCTTAACCACTAAGCCCTGCTTGTGGTCTTTTAATGGATCATGATAATCTTACATTGAATCCAACGTGTTCTCTGTCTTAAAACTTCTCCGTGAGCTCAATTGGGTTATGTGATAATCAAGAACAATGAGAACATGTGTAGCTCAAATTTTAGTTGGTCTTAATAATCAAAACCCAGAGTCAGGTATAGGGGTTAATTATGAAGATCAGTGAAGCAGAGAGGCCAGCCACTAGAGAGTTCTTTTACTTCTATCCATGTTCAGACCGAAGGGGTGATCCTCACACTGTCTCCACCAAACCTCAGACTGCCCTGAACTGTCTTCCTCCGCCGTATAGCCCTCTCTCCACCCAGCCATATCACTCCTGTCTCCACCTCCTTAGTGCTGGGATTAAAGACTTGTGATCCCAAGTGCTAGGATCACCTTTGTGTGAGCTCTGTTTCTCTTTTAGACAGATTCTGTCTTGTGTTGCCCGGGGTGGCCTTGAACTAACAGAGCTGCCTCTGCCTCTGTGGCCTGAGACCTAGGATTAAAGGTATGTGCCACCACTCCCTGACTTCTAGTGGCTTAGCTATGCACTCTGATCTTCAGGCAAGCTTTATTTGTTTATGTTTTCATAAACAAAATATCACTACAAACATGAGTGAGGGGAAATGGCATCTTGAAGAACAACTTGAAAGGGTCACATGGAGCATGGGGATGGGAAGACTCTGGAGACCTGGATGTCCCTAGAGGAGGTCAGTTAGCTCCATTGAGCTGAGAAGTTCAGTTGAGTGGAGTTGGAGGCCAGCATTCTGAGCCTCAGTCATGTCGCTCCAATGCTTGCATCCGCCATCCAAAGTCTGCTTTCCAACGAGAGCCCTTATGGGAGCATCTAAGACTACAGTGTTGCTTGTTTAATTGCTCCTCACCAGTTACCATTAAATTCTGGCCCGTATTTTTAGTCCTATCTTCTGGCAGCTAGACGAAATTAAAGACTAAAGCGATCATATTCAACTAGTCATTTACTTTGTGTGCACTTTCAAGAGCATCCTGTGATACCTTGCATGTCATTGTGCCATCCTCGCCCTCCATAGGAGGGCTATCACTTATTAATATGGCTCCCATTGTTATCTTTTTTCCCCTTTTACTAAAAATAGGTTCTTTTATCAATCAGTATATCTGAGCATATCCCCTCCCTCCACTTCTTCCATTTCTTCCTCACCTCTCCCATCTGAATCCACTCCTTTTCTGTCTCTCACTAGAAGAGAACAGGCTTGTAAGAGATAACTACCAAACATAACAAAATAAAATATAAGTTAAAACAAAACCCATCACATTGAAGTTAGACAAGGCAAACCAACAAAAGGAAAAGAGCCCCAAGAGAAGGCAGTAGAATCAGAGACCCACTTGCTCTCATACTCAGGAATCCTAAAAAACACTAAACTGAAAAGTCTAATATATGTGCTCCAAGGACCTGGTGCAGACCCCTGTCGGCCCTGTGCTTGCTGCTTCAGTCTCTGAGAGTTCATATGGGCTTTGTTCAGATGATTTAGAGGGCCTTGTTCTCCTGGTGTCCTTCATCTCCTCTGGTTCACACACTCTTTATCAGGGTTCTCTGAGCTGTGACGGGAGGGATTTGATGGAGACATTCTATTTAGAGCTGTGTATTGTGTATCTTTCTCTCTCTGCATGTCTGGCTGTGGGGCTCTGGATTTGTTCCTCTGCTGCAGGAGGAAGCCCCTCTGACAATGGCTGAACACAGCACGGATCTATGAATTTAGCAAAATCATTAGGAGTTGTTTTATTGCTTTTTTGTTTGTTTGTTTGTTTGTTTTTTTTTTGGCTGATACTATTTGGTTTTACCCAAGTCTCTGAGCTATCTGGTCTATGGTTCTTGGTCACCCAAGCAGCGTTGAGTGTGGGCTTCATCTCATGGACTGAGTCTTAAGTCAGATCAGACAGTGGTTGGTTACTTCCACACACAAATTTTGTGCTGCCATTGCCATGGCATTTCTTGCAGGCAGGAAGCTTGTAGATCAAAGGTTTTGTGGCCGGCTTGGTGTTTACATTTCTCTCTTGGTAGCCTGCGAAGTATTTTACCATACTGCAGACACTAGAACTGGGGTGAATGTTCTGTGTAGGCACCAGCTTGGCCTCTCCACATACGGTCAGTTGTGTGGTTGTTGTCTTCAGCAGTGGTCCTTGCCGTTAGTTTATGAAGAGCAACCATTGTCTTGGCAACAGCCCGAGGTGTTTTGGGGATTTCCATGTGACCCCACTGGCCAACAACTCAGTTGAATATAATCTAGTACCAGTACTAGAAGCTTTCATTGGTGACAAGAGATGACCAGCTGGGACTCCATTTTCCTCATTATTTGGAGACTATTTATTAGGAGCGCCTTCATATATTTTAAGAAGTTTCCACAGCGCTAGGTTTCCATACCACTCCTCAAATGCCCCTCAGTACTAGCTGCCCCTCCCAGCATTCCCTTTCTGGGTGCTATCTCCCCTCCCTGTCTCAACCTGATCCTCCAGTTCCCATCTGCCCAACCCCACCCTCACTCCATCCATAAAATCTATTCCATGTCCCCCTCTCAGAGAGATTCATGTGCCCTCCCCCGCACCCCGCTGTCCCTTTCTTTATACCTCACCTCTCTAGGTCTACAGATTGTAGATTGGTAATCATTTATTTAATGACTAATATCCACATATAAGCGAATACATACCATATTTATCTTTTCAGCTGTGGGTTACCTCATGCAGGATGATTTTTTTTCTAATTCCATCCATTTGCATGAAAATTTCATGATGTCGTTTTTACAACTGAGTGACACTCCATTGTGTGAATGTACCACAATTTCTTTATCCGTTCTTCTGTTGAGGGACATCTAGGCTGTTCACAGCTTCTGGCTATTCACGAATAGAGCAGCGGTAAACATAATAGAGCAGTGTAGGATGAAGCGGTCTTTGGGTATAGGCTTGGGAGTGGGATAGCTGGATCTTGAGGTAAATTGATTCCCGGCTTTCTAAGGAACCACACTATTGATTTCCATAGGGATTCTGCAAGTTTGCACTCCCACGAGTGGTGGAGGAGTGTTCCCTGTGCTCCACATCCTCACCAGCATGAGCTGTCACTGTGTCTTTGATCTTAGCTAATCTAACAAGTGTATGATGGAATCCTGGAGTCATTTTGATTTGCATTTCCCTGATGGCTAAGGATGTTGAACATTTCTTTAAGTTTGAAGTTGCTTGGTTAGAGTTGCACCAAGATATTTTATATTATTTGAGACTGTTGTGAAGAGTGTTGTTTCCCTGATTTCTCATAGTCTACCATTTGTATATAGAACAACTACTGATTTTTTTTAGTTAATCTTGTATCCTGCCACATTACTGAAGGTGTTTATCAGTTATGAGCCCCTGATATTTGCGCCGTGGACGCTGGTCCTCCAAAGAGCCAAGCTGGTGTTAAGAACCGCCAATTCTCTTGACTGCTGAGCTATTTTTGCAGCCTCATAATGTTATTTTTTAGTTTACTAATCATGGTTTTTCCTGTTGTTTAAGGTTCCATGATGGAGTTTGAACATTACCTCAAGAGGTTTCATATTTTGGATTAGTTAATCGTCTTTACCCTCTGCTGGGGACTTTGAAACTTCGGATTCAGTTTCTGTGTCCTTCAAGACATTACATGCAGAGATTGTACCATGGACTGCAAGGAGAGCTGCCCGAGTGTGAGCATCCCCAGCTCTGATGAACACAGAGAGAAAAAGAAGAGGTTCACAGTAAGTGCATAGCAGGAAGCTTAAGAGAGTCAGTACAGCAAATGTTTCCACCTCTGCCTGTGTTCTTCCTAACTAGGAATCCGCCTCCCTTCCTCCATGTGTCCAGGTTCTGCTTCTGTTGAATGAGCTGTCCTCACAGAGCCCTCTTTGGCTGTTGTAAGGAGGCTGCTTGTTTGTCCCGGCCGCCCAGAACCGAAACAATCACACAGAAACTGTATTATTTAAATCACTGCATGGCCCATTAGCTCTAGCTTCTTATTGGCTAGCTGTTCACATCTTAATATAACCCATTTCTATTAATCTATGTATGGCCATGAGGCTGTGGCTTACCAGCATCTGTGTCCAGCAGGGCTCCATGGCTTCTCTTTACTCCACCCTTCCTCCCAGCATTCACTTTAGTTTTCCCCACCTAGCTCTTTCTGCCCTGCTCTGCTATAGGCTCAAAGTAGTCCTTTATTAACCAATGGTATTCACAACATACAGAGGGGAACCCCACATCATTTGGCTCCTGTAACAGTGATTGTCTTTTTTAGTGCAGATTTTTGCCTATTTACCAGTCCCTTTGGGGAATTTTATGAGGTTTGCACGCTCTCTCGTCAGATGTTTGTATACAGATGCTGTTTGTGCACTGTTAGTTTGTACACACTGTTGAGTGCTGTAGACTCCTGAAGGCCTTGAGCCCATGGTAAGGACTACTGTCTTGAAATTTCCATGGTGTCTCATGGTATTTTATTACTTTCTGCCACATTTTAAAATGTTTCCTTTTTCCTCTTTTCTCACCTTAAAGGTAAAAGCCTTCCTGATTTTGTTTTTTGTGCCACAGTATTTGCTGGAGGGAGGGCTTTATAAGCAATAGGCACAATGAGTTTGTGCTAGTAGTGTTATCAGTGACTATTACTGGGACATAAGCTCTTTAAAACCTTTGTCTGTTTGTGTGTGTGTGTGTGTGTGTGTGTGTGTGTGTGTTCGTGTAGCATATGCGCACATATGGGCCCATAGAGTATCCTAATCCTAACCATAAAGGAGTCAGATATTCTCAGGTGTCCTCCTCCCTCTCTCTGTACCTATCCCTTTGAGGCAGAGTCTCTCCTTGAACCTGGGTCTCTTGTTTTCTTAGTCACTAAATCTCTGCCTTTCCTCAGAGATTGAATTACAGATGTGTACAGAACACATCCTGTTACATAGTTCTAGGATACAAACTCAGTTGCACATGCAGTTTTTTAAAAATAGTTTTCATTTTCTTTATGCATGTATGTATAATATATATACATAGATAGATTAGATAGATACAGATAGATAGATAGATAGATAGATGCCTGCATGTATGTCTGTGTACTGACTGTTTAGTGCCCTCAGAGGCCAGAAAAAGGATCCCCTAGAATTGGAGTTTACAGATGGTTATGAGCTGTCATGTGGGTGCAAGGAGCCAAGTCTGGGTCCTCTAGAATGCCCCCATGCTGAGCCATCTCTCCAGCCCTACAACAGGTCACCATGACCTGAACCACCCCTCCAGCTGAGAGCAGATGTATCCTATTAGTATAGCGAGACACACTATGTTTAGTCCCAGTGCTCCAGACAGGATCGTTAGAGCTTTCCTGCCCTTCTGTCTCTGATCTGGTCTTTGCTGAAAGTCCCAGGCTGCTGTGCAATATGAAGACGTTTGCTGGACTTCAGCTCTGTTCTCTACTTACTTCCACCCAGGTGAGAATGCCCAGGCTATCTTACTCTGTCATCCTGCTTGTGCACGCAGCCATACCGCGGTCTGCATTTTGGTTTTATAGGAGGAAAGGTGTCCATTTTCAGAGTATTCGTGGAGTAAATGTCTCTGTGGCTTCCTTCTTGTCATCCCTGCACATCTGTAATGTTCCAGCTTTTAGTTGTATTCTAGAGAATAGCTGTGGCTGACGTGATACAACCTGGACTTCTAACCGGTGTTTTAGCTGCCCTCTGCCATTGCGGGATGATGAGAATATCTTCTATTGGTGTGACTAGGGTCTCACGGGGCACTTGGCTAACGCAGTGCCTTTGTTCTCAGTATTGCTCATCAGACCCCTTTTGGGGCCACCCCCTCATCTGTAAATCTGTAATAAGTAGGTCACTGGATCCTTGCCATTGAGCCCTGTGACAAGTGACTTTCAGCTTAAATCCATGTTCACATGGGAATTGAGAAGAACTGAAATCCTAAGCTAACTACTCCAGCTACTATCTTCTGCCTTATTAACTTGCAGAAGTATTCTGCCCTCCTAAACAAACACACCTCCTGCGTTGATACAGAGAGGTTGGAGTGTGTATCTGACTGTCTCCCCTTAGCCTCTAGGTTGCAAAGTGTGTTTATCTGTGAGTTATGTGTGAGAATGTGTGTTTTAACAACAGTATCTTAAACAGTACATGCTTATTAATACATTTATATGAGCGTATTTTTAGCAATGCCACTTTGAAGGTCAGCAAGGACTTCTCTATCTTGGATAAAATGTGGTGTGTATGCGATATATTCCTTCCTTTTCTCCTTGTTCTTACCTTTGGGCCATTTTGTCCTTCCGGAACTTTGCCTCCCATCAAGTTTGGCAGACGTTCCTTCTGTGTGGACGGTGGATTAAGTTAGGTGTCCTTTGCTCTTTTCAGGGAGAGAGGCTTCCACACAGTCTGTGAAAGTCAGGAAGCCTCTGCCAGGGCCTGGTATTTCTGTGCTGTGCCCTGGTTTCAGAGTTCCTGTGAAAGTCAGCTTGTTCATTTACTTCCGTCAGACGCCCAAGTGTTTCCCCATTGGAGGCTTTGTGTGTATGTAACCACTTAAAATACAAAATAGCACCTCCACACTTCACGCTGCTCTCCTTTGCTGTCCTACTTACCTTACCTAATATGTAAGTAGCCGTTATCAGCACTTACTTAATATATTTTGTCATATTCTGAATGCCTTGCCTGCTGAAATGCAAGGTCATTTGAGGAAGGACTTCCTTTGATATTGTTTCATGAGACCTTAAAATTGAGTTAGTGATGGAGGAAGGTCATTGGTTAAGTAATAAAGAAACTGCTTGGCCCCATAGGTTAAAACATAGGTGGGAGGAGTAAACAGAACAGAATGCTGGAAGGAAGAGGAAGTGAGCTCAGAGACGCCATGCTCCCCTCTCCTGGGCAGACTCAATAGCTCTGCTCTCTGGAGCAGATGCCATGCTCCCCTCTCCCGGGCACATGCGATGAAGCTCCGACCCAGGATGGACGTGGGCTAGAATCTCCCTGGTAAGCCACCTCGTGGGCTACACAGATTATAAGAAATGGGCTAGTCAAGGTGCAAGAGTTAGCCGAGAAGAGGCTAGATATAATGGGCCAAGCAGTGTTTAAAAGAATACAATTTGTGTGTTGTTATTTTGGGGCATAAGCTAGCCAGGCAGTCGGGGTGCCGGGGACGCAGCCCCGCCGCTCCTATTACAACAAGTTAGTGTAGGTTTAATGAGAATTACCTGGCTGGAGAGATGGCTCGGAGGATACGAGTACTGGTGGCTCTTCCATAGGACCTGGGTTCAACTTCCAGCACCAGTGTGGTGGCTCACAAGCATCTCCAACTCCAGTTCTGGAAGATCCAGTACCCTTTTATGGCCTCTGAGGTCACTGCACATGGTGCACAGATATATATGCAGGCACTCTTACGCGTAAAAAATTTTAAGAATCTTAGAAAAAAAAATTTTTTGATTTGAAAATTTCTTTTGGTTTTGCCCATTCATTTTATTGTTGTTGTTAAAACTTATTTAATGGCGTGTGTGTGTGTGTGTGTGTATGTGTGTGTGTGTGTGTGTGTGTGTGTGTGTGTGGTTTGCTCCAGAGACTCTGTCCTGAACCCAGACTTGGCTGTGGTCTTGGCTGTAGTTGGGTATTTAAGGGAGACAGCCCTCCTCCCTCTTCTGTATCTTCACCAGGAAATCGTACTAGGGCCTTAAAATGCCCCTGTCACATAGACCAGGGTCTGTTCTCTGTGTTAGGGCTGCTTCCATATCTCCTAATTAGGAGACTCAACGGCCTGGTGCTTGACCGAGTCTCCTCTTTATTGCTGACACAAACTCAGTAGTTTTGCATAGTTTTACCTGTAAAGGGATGTCCATGATTATTTTCTGAAAATAACAAAATTTTCCTAACATCTGAAGTGTGTTTACACCATGAACTAACAGTTGACTCTAAACCAGCCCTCTGACTGCTCAATAGTTGCAGCTCCAGGGCCTGAGCCATGTTGTCCTTCATCTGAGTAACACATGCCTTGCCGGCTGACTGGTACCAGGGGTTTTGCCTTGCCTCCCGTCATCCTTCATTGCTTCTCTCATAGAAAGATACAGCTTTAATATGGCTTTATAGCCAAGGGCCCTGTTAATGTGGCCACTTATATGGTATATCACAGAATAACAGAACTATGTCTTCCTCAGAGTATTATTTAGTATGGACGTGTAGATGCGAATTACCTACCTTTTGTGGAATGGATGATTTGTACGCATCTGTGTGGTTGTCTGAGATGAACCTGCTTTTCTCTGACACTAAAAGACTGTGGACACAGGTGTAGGAAATCACCTGAAGCAAGACAAGTCTAGTTATCACTATAAAAATTGGGTTTATAACCCAAGTCCTTCACCAGAAACTCTGTCTTCATATACTTTAGTTATTGTTATCTTCTTGTTAGAAATGGTAGCATCTTTGGGTTCTCCAACTCTTTCCTCACAATTCATTGTAGAATGTGAACTTGTGTCTTTGGACTGAACTGTGAAAGTTAATTCTGTACCTGCTGCTGATTTAATGCTAGGTCTGATATATAGTGGGAGGAAATGATATGGATTGTAGTCAAAGTTGTGCAGTGTTTTTTTTTATTTATTTTATTGAAAAAAAGGAAAAAAAAGTTTCTGCCTCCTCCCCGCCTCCCATTTCCCTCCCCTTCCTTCCACCCTTCTCCCCCTCCCTCTCCAGTCCAAAGAGCAGTCAGGGTTCCCTGCCCTCTGGAAAGTCCAAGGTCCTCCCCCCTCCGTCCATATCTAGGAAGGTGAACATCCAAACTGGCTAGGCTCCCACAAAGCCAGAACATTAAGTAGGATCAAAACCCCGTGCCATTGTCCTTGGCTTCTCATCAGCCCTCATTGTCCGCCATGTTCAGAGAGTCCGCTTTTATCCCATGCTTTTTCAGTCACAGTCCAGCTGGCCTTGGTGAGCTCCCAATAGATCAGCCCCACTGTCTCAGTGGGTGGGTGCACCCCTCTGGGTCCTGACTTCCTTGCTCATGTTCTCCCTCCTTCTTCTCCTCATTGGGACCTTGGGAGCTCAGTCCAGTGCTCCAGTGTGGGTCTCTGTCTCTATCTCCATCCATCACCAGATGAAGGTTCTATGGTGATATGCAAGATATTCGTCAGTATTGCTATAGGATAGGGTCATTTCAGGTTCCCTATCCTCAGCTGCCCAAGGAACTAACTGGGGACATCGCCTTGGGCTCCTGGGAGCCACTCTAGGTTCAAGTCTCTTGCCAACCCTAAGATGGCTCCCTTAACTAAAAATTGCTTCCGCGCTCCCCTATCCAACCTTCCTTTATCCCAATCGTCCTTTTTCCCCAAGTTCCCCCTATCCTCCCCTTCTCCCTTTTCTCTCCCCATTTCCCCTTACCCCCATCCCACCCCACTCCCAAGATCCCAATTTTCTCCCCGGCAATTTTGTCTACTTCCCATAGCCAAGAGGATAACTATATGTTTTTCCTTGGGTTCATCTTTTTTTTTTAATATTTATTTATTTATTTATTTATTATGTATATAATATTCTTTCTGCGTGTTTGCCTGAAGGCCAGCAGAGGGCACCAGACCTCATTACAGATGGTTGTGAGCCACCATATGGTTGCTGGGAATTGAACTCAGGACCTTTGGAAGAGCAGGCAATGCTCTTAACTGCTGAGCCATCTCTCCAGCCCTTGGGTTCATCTTCTTACTTAGCTTCTTTAGGTTCACCAATTGTAGACTCCGTGACCCTTATTTATGGCTAGAAACCAATTATGAGTGAGTACATCCCATGTTCATCTTTTTGGGTCTGGGTTACCTCACTCAGTATAGTGTTTTCTATTTCCGTCCATTTGCATGCAAAGTTTGAGAAGTCATTGTTTTTTTTACCGCAGCGTAGTACTCTAATGTGTATATATTCCACACTTTCTTCATCCATTCTTCCATTGAAGGGCATCTAGGTTGTTTCCAGGTTCTGGCCCAATGTTGGCTCTCCTGGCGCCGAGCTTGTGCAGTTTTTGATTAAGTAAATCAACTTTTTGACTGACATTTTCTCACATCTAGTAGGGGTTATAATTCTGCTAGCTTCATAGGATTGTTGCTCATGATTAAACGAGGCTGTATATGAAGGCATTAGACACATTTGTACAATGGCATTAGGAAAATGTAAGGATATGATTTTTATTTGAAAACTAGTGTGTCAAAGATGGTCTGGAGGAAAAGAATTAGTAGTAAGTGTTTATGATGGGTCAGGGGTTGCTTTTGAAAACACTTAACATTTCAAGGCCTAGTAAGCTGGTATGAAAATGGCATCGGTTAGGTCTGTAGTTCTTTATTCTTAGGAAAGAGAATATGAGGCAAGAGTGGCAGAGCGTTAGAATTCAGGTAGCTCTGATAGGGAGCACATTCATATATCTATGGTTATTGTGAAAATAACAGAACTTTCGTGACAGGGCAGTGCTGTGTTTTACTGGAGCTACATAGTCAAGTGCTCCTTTCTTGCCTTATTTGTAATGAGGTCTTCAGGATGGAAGACCTTTCAGATTGTAGTTTGCATTATTGTGTGTGTGTGTGTGTGTGTGTGTGTGTGTGTGTGTGTGTGGTGTGTGGTTAAAGCTTGTTACAAAGGAGGCGTTACATAAAATGTAAAATGTGAATGCTAAATTATCCAAGAGTAAAGAGGAGCTAACATTGCTAGGACAACAGCAGAGAAATTGATAAGATGAAACACGTGCTTCACTTGGCATGCTTTTTAATCTTGGATAATCATGCAAACAGACGCCAGTTTCGCAAATATGAAGACAATTTTATGTATTTAAACAGCTAATGGTTTCTTTGCAGTTAAAATTTGTTAAATTGCATCATTTTCTTTTTCTTTCCACAGGTTTATAAGGTTCTAGTGTCTGTGGGGAGAAGCGAGTGGTTTGTCTTCAGGAGATATGCAGAGTTTGACAAACTTTACAATACTGTAAGAGACCACATTATTTATTCTTTCTTTGATTTCTTTTTGGTTTGTTTGTTTTTTGAGACAGAATTTCTCTGTATAACAACTCTGGCTATCCTGGAACTTGCTTTGTAGACCAGGTTGACCTCAGACTCAGAGATCCCCCTGCCTCTGCCTCCCAAATGCTGGCATTAAATGCAGGCGCCATCACCGCCTGAGTAACTACATTTCTGTTTAAAGCTAAACACCTGAGAAAAATCCCATGCACTGAGAAATGTATTTGAATGAGCAAATCAAGACAACTTTCCAATCAAAAAAGGGAAAGAGATTCTTCAAAAGCATCTTAATTTATTGTCTTTATGTGAAATGTGGGAACACAGACAGTTCTACATGAGCAGGGAGAGACGGAGGTGAGGAGCTCAAGGGCATTTCAGGGTCCCATGACGCCAGGCGCCAGTACTTGTGCCAAGTAATGTGGTATCTGTCGAGGCAGTTAAGCCTGAGATCTCGAAGGATCGGCCCACACTCCTCTTCTGTGTCCTTCTTAGAAGTCGTCAGTTCTGGGTTTCAAGTACTAAATGAAATGAGTGTTGCCTTTCCAGCAGTCCAATGGAGTTTGAAGTCTAAGTAACTGAAGCCATTTTTACCCATAATCCAGCTATTAAATAGTTCACAGTCTGGCACCTGTAGTCACACGTGGTTTATAGCGAATGCAGTGAGACACCAAGGCATCAGAGCAGACTCTGCTGGTGCTGACTCTGGTGGAAGATGCTGTCTCAGAAGTCTTAAGATGCTCGAGCCATGTCTCTTGAGTCCGTCACTGCAGAAGCCTGGGTTAGAACAGCTGAGTCCCAAGCTTTGGTTCAGTTACGGAAGACAAACAAGTAAAAAAACAGTTGTGCCTTCAGCTCCATGTGTAAGTTCCTAGCTCTCTCATGCCATAAAAGGTACTGATCTCCCAGTGTATATAATGAGTAGATTGCTAGGCATCTCTAGAAAATTCTCTTTATACTTGGAAAGGTCATTTTTCATTTCTTAATCCTATCTTCTGATCTTAATATGTAAATCTTGGGGCTAGGAAGATAACCCTTTCCCTTGCTGCTCCTGCAAAAGGGTCACAAACACCTGGAACTCCAGTGCCAGGGTTTTCATTGTTCTCTCTGGCCTCCAAGGGCACTGCACACACATTACATGCACACGTGCGCAGACATGAGTATAATTCGAGAAAATATGTAAATCTCTAGGGTTTCATTTGTTAGATTTTTCAAAAATATGTTAAGGAAGTTAAGGTGGTCTCAGCTACAAAACAAACTGTTTCCCAAGTGGACTGAGAAGAACCACAGTGTCTCTCGGTTTTTTTGAGTCTCACCTTATTTAGCATGTCACTGTATATGTCCTAAACAATACTCAAGTGATACACTAATTGAAATGAACTTTAAAAAACCAGTGTTCTACTCCTGCACTGCTGGTGGGAGTGTAAGCTGCTACAGCCCCTTTGGATATCAGTATGGTGATTCCTCAGAAAATTAGGAAACAACCTTCCTCAAGACCCAGCAATACCACTTTTGGGTATATATCCAAAGGATGCTCAATCGTGCCACAAGGACATGTGCTCAACTATGTTCATAGCAGCGTGTCCTGTCTGTTTATGTGACCAGCTGATAAGTCTGCTAAGTGTCTTCCAGTTTATGTGTTTCTTGTGGGGGATACCATTTGTTTTTCCCTCTTTTGGTCTCGGATTTGCTGCCTATAGCATGCAATGATTAATACATTCTTTTATTCTTTGTGTTTCCTATTAATTGCCAGTTAGATTTGTACTTGGTATGCTTGTGGATTTCCTATTGCAAGCTTACAACTTGACTGCCCTTTGTTTAATTTATTTCTATATACAGTAAGTGCTCAGGATAGATAACAAATGGTTCCTCAATAAAAGTCAATTTTCCCTCAAACGAATTTGATAAACAAATGTATTAGATACTAATAAGGAGCAAGCTAGAGTTGAGAATATTGAAACCAAAATTAATTCCCTTTCTCTGGAAAGTGTTAATAATCTGTTGCTGTAGACCACAGAGAGCACATTTCTTCAGAGAAAAGGTGAGTAGCACCTGCAGAGCCTGGTTACCATTTTCCAATCTCAGTGCTTAACGAATATGGTCTTCTTTAACTGCCCAACAAAATCTGGAAGGTGCTCGGTTAGCCTATCCCCATTTTACAAATGGGAAACAAGTCCCAACACAGACCTCTCCAAGGTCACATACTGAACAGTTACTAAACAGTTTCATGGGACAAAATAGGATGGTTAGTCAGTCTGTGGTGTTTTATTCATATATTTTAGTATTTTATATCATGGCATCATACTTAAAATATGTCTTATAAATTTTCCTTAAGATCATATTGTTGTTGAGGGAGCTGCAGGCTGCGTTCCTGCCACCCCAGCTCCCAGATGCCTGGCTAGCTTATGCCCCGAAATAACAACACACAAACTGTATTCTTTTAAACACTGCCTGGCTCATTATATCTAGCCTCTTCTAGGCTAATTCTCACGTATTAATTTAGCCCATTTCTAATAATCTGTGTAACACCACTAGATGCGCTTACCGGGAAAGATTCAGCATGTCTGACCTGGCAGCTTGCTTTATCGCATCTGGCTCTGAGAGGAGCTGCATGATTTCTGAGCTCATTTCCTCTTCCTCCCAGCATTCTGTTCTGTTTACTCCGCCTATCTAAATTCTGCCCTATCAGATGGGCCAAGGCAGTTTCTTTATTAGCCAATGACCTTCCTCCATCATTTCCCCTTTTTCTGTTTAAACAAAAAGGAAAGGCTTTAACTTTAACATAGCAAAATTACATATAACAAAACAGTTATCAAGCAAGAATTACAGTTACAATATTTACATCTACTTTATCTTTTATCATAACTGAGGAAAACTATAACTATCTATACATTCTTTAACTCCATCAAAGACTCCAGAAGGATATAATATAACCTAAGCAAACAAGAAATAAGCAACTTCCAAACTCTAGAAATGACAGAGACATCTCGCTGCCTTGAACAGACACCCAAAGTTCCTCTGTACCGTTGGGGCATCCATTTTCAGCCTACAGGCCCATAGTATCCAGAGACATTTTCATGAAGCAGGAAATTTCAAAGACAGTTCACTAACTATCTGCTGTGTCCTCCAGAATGTCTCGCAGACTCTTTCATGAATCAGAAACCCCGAAAGATCATCTCACCTTTAGGCAAGTTCAGCAGTCCTCTCTCTGAGGGTTCTCTGTGTTCAGTTTATACAATAGTCCAGGCAAGAGTAGTTTCTTGCCCAAATGGCTAACCAACTCCATAAGGAGCCTCTTCGATACCCGTCTTCCTCTTGAAGTAGATTGATGCTACCAGGAGCAGACATGGCTCATTGTCATGAAAAGCCCTAAGTTATTAAAACATTTAAAATGCCATATTCTATAATCTTTGAAAAATATGAAGAATGCCTATCTAAAATATATCTATGCACATCTAGAAAATCTAACATGACTACAAGCTTGACTATTATTAATGATTATCTATTAACAACCTATATACATTACATTTTTACATGAACTACACAATCACAATACCTTAATCAATATCAAAAATACATATACATATAATAAAATTGACCTTAAAATCCATACCAATGCAAATTATTCATATCTATATCATATCTCCCTTTAAATGTAAAAGAACATTTATAAACAATATTTGGGAATATGGGCACAGTTATTTCTCTCCAAACTGCTTCCTGCTGAATGGGGGTGCTGTTATTTAGGTCTTTTATGGTATAACCTGTGTGCTAGGTTCATCTCAGTTGGCAGTTGAGTGAAGTAATTTTTTGAAGGTGTTCACAGCAACCCTTCAGGAGGGCCTGGTCCATCATACCACATTGGGATAGAAGCAATCCACAGTGTCTCATCCTCTGAAAACAAAAGAAGAAACTCCTTTCCAAAGCATCACGTCCTTAGATCCAAATTTTAAAGTCAAGGTATTTTCAAAATATCTATCTTGGATTAGTTCAGTGGCATTTATAAACAAATATCTTTTAGCAGTTGTTGCTCCTTTCTCAACATTCGAACAATTCAAAGAGAGCATAATAGCATACAGTATCAAAATTCTCTGTGTATTTTCCATCTTTGTGCAGCTTTATTTTAACTCTAGTTTGTTTATTTTTACTTTTATTTTTTGAGACAGGTTCTCTGTACATCTTTGTCCTGGAATAACTCTGTAGACCAGTCTGTCCTTGAACTCTCAGCAATCCCTCTGTCTCTGCCTCCCAGGCATTGGGATTAAAGGCTTGTGCTACCACACCTTGAAGTCACAGAGGTCAATCTACCTCTGCCTCCCAAGTGTTGGGATTAAAGGTGTGTACTACCACACCCAACTACTCTCTTTCTTCCTTTTTTTTTACTTTAAGAACTTTAACTTTTAGCTTGCATATATTTTTAACACACTGTAAATCATTTAGAAGTTTTCTTTGTTTTTGACGCTCTTTACTGTATTTCTCTCTGTTTTTCTTACCACATGAGTCTTTAATTTACGGAGCAATATGGGTAAGATTAAAGCCGTGGCTTTGGCAGCTAGATCCAGCCCATTCCTTAGCTTTCCAGCCTCATGGCGGAAGTACTGGTTGTAGCCATGTTTATTGCCACAAGTCTATGGTGTTTCAAGGTCCCTGCCAGCAAGGAAACTGCAGCATTCTGCTCACAGACCACATTCAGTCAGACTACCTGCTTGAGTCTGAGTCAGAGTTTGCCCTGGCAGGACGGCCCAGAAAACCGGCATTTTAAAACAACACAACTTTTTTCCTGCTACGGCTGAAAACAAACAAGCATGAGTTCAGCTTTTCATCAACACCATTTAAGTGTTTCGTAGCAGGACCTCTTAAGAGCTGCAGGGTTTTGTAGTAATTAGGGGCGGCGGGGCTGCGTTCCTAGCACCCCTGGCCGCCTGCTCGGCTAGCTTATGCCCCGAAATAATTACACAGACACTGTATTCTTTTAAACACTGTTTGGCCCATTCTCTTCTAGGCTAATTCTCCCATATTAATTTAGCCCATTTCTAATCATCTGTGTATGGCACCCCAAGGTGCGCTTACCAGGAAGATTCTAGCCTATGTCCATCCTGGGTCGGAGCTTCATCCAGGGAGCGGGGCATGGCGTCTCTCTCAAGCGTCTGTTCCTGAGAGGAGAGCTGTCGAGACTCTGACCTCACTTCCTCTTCCTCCCAGTGTCCTGTTCTGTCTACTCCTTCCACCTATCCTCTAACCAATAAAATGGGCCAAGGCAGTTCCTTTATTAGCCAATGACCTTCCTCCATCAGGGTTTTGCAGCTAAAGCTGAGTCAGGAAGCCTCTATTAGATGAGAGTGCTTACTACTTGCCTCTAGCAGGCAAAGCAGACCCGAGAAATTGCTGCTACCAAGAAAACATGCTTTACTCTTTCCCAAGCTTTCTCAGGCTTTCAGTGGATTCAGTTGTCCACACGTCTGGGCGCCATTTTGTTGTAGGAGCTGCGGGTCTGCATTCCGCCACCCAGCTCCCGCCACCGGCTAGCTTTACCCGAAATAACAACACACAAACTGTATTCTTTTAAACACTTCTTGGCCCATTAGTTTCAGCCTCTTCTCAGCTAACTCTCGTACCTGGACTAGCCCATTTCTAATAATGTGGGTAGCACCCCAAGGTGCGCTTACCGGGAAGATTCTAGCCTACGTCCATCCTGGGTCAGAGCTCCATCGATTGCGTCTGCCCGGGAGAGGGGAGCATGGCCTCTGAGCTCACTTCCTCTTCCTCCCAGCATTCTGTTCTGTTTACTCCACCCACCTATGTTCTAAGCTATGAGGCCAAGCAGTTTGTTTATTACTTAACCAATGAAATCAACAGATTGATATATGACACTCCCACATCAAGCTCACAGAATGCTGTTTTTAAATTTTAGTTGAAGAAACAGTTTCCTGCCATGGCTCTGAAGATTCCTGCCAAGAGAATATTCGGTGATAATTTTGACCCAGGTAAGCAAAAGCTCCGTGGTCTAACTGCTGAGCTCTGGTTGAAGTTTGAAGACATAGGCCATGTGTTCACTGAAGAATATAATTGTTCAGAACTTTCTGCTGTTTGGAGACAGAATCTTGCTATGTAGCCCAGGCTGGCCTCCAGCTAGTGATCCTCCTACCTCAGCCTCAGGCACGCACTGTTACACCTGTTTTGCCCATGAGTGTATGATGTACAGTCTGCGTCACTGCTAAGAAGGTGTGTGTACGGTGTGTTAAGGGTAGATAGCAAATGCCTCTCTGATAAAAGACAACTTTTAGTGTCAAGACTCCTCACTCCTAGAAACATGAGTGCTATGGGCACTATCTCTGCTCTCTGGCCTCTGACAGTGAAACTTCGCAAAACCCTCGTCCAGTTCAGATTACATGTGCGGATCTTAAGTCTGTAAGCATTTACTCCACAGATTACTGCTTTGTGCCTGTGTGTTCTTCCATAAACGTTTCGTGATAATCTCATAGGCTGACGGAAATGTGACTGCTGGTCTGTGTGTCTCTTCCAGATTTTATTAAACAAAGAAGAGCGGGACTAAATGAGTTTATTCAGAACTTGGTCAGGTATCCAGAGCTTTACAACCAGTAAGTACTTTCCCTTTCGTCTAAAGCAGCAGTGGAACCATCTGTGGGCGGTTTATACTTTGTGTGCAGTGTTACTGTGCTCCTGATGCTCTTGCCCGCTTTCCCTGCGTCCCACTCTTTTTCTTCCCCTTTCCTTCCCTTCGCACGTGTGTGCTGTCCTAGCTGGGTTTCTCTTGCCGGGATAGGGCACTGGGACCTAACAACTTGAGGAGGAAAGGTTCTTCAGCTCACAACTCTCGGGTCACCCTCCATCACTGAGGGAAGGCAGGGCAGGAACTGAAGCAGAGGCCCGGGAGGAGCACGACCTACTGGCTTGCTCAGCCTGCTTTCCCATATGCCCAGGAACACCTGGCCAGGAAGCTCCACCCCAGTGAGGTGGGCCCACCCACATTAGTTATTAATGAAGAAAATACATAGCAGACTTTCCTACAGGCAAACATTTGAGAAGGAACTTTCTTGATTGAGAATCCTCTTCACAGATGAATCTGGCTTGTTTCAAGTTGACAAAAATACCAATCAAGGCGTGGGAATTTTAAGGATTACTGTTTAAATAAGTTTGTATTATGTAGTTAAAACCTCTTGCCAATTGTTTAATATTATATTTGTTTCCATCGCTTAGAAAAGGACCCCAGTGTTGGCTACGTTGTGAGGATTAAGCTAAATAAGTGTTAACTGTGTGTTCCAGCAGCATGGGCAGTTCCACTCCCATCCTCCCCAACCTCTGGATCTTACCTTTCTGCTCCCTCTTCTGAGACTGTCTATGAGCCTTGCCTGAGCCCTACAGGAGGCAGGGTGGTAATACTACATCTGTCCCTTTGGGGCTGAGCACTTATTCTCTTTCCTTGGATCACTTGTGACAACAGATGTTTTATATACACATGCACTTTATAAGTAACGGTCTTTCATTCAGGATAGAAGAAACTTCTAGAACCCCATGAACAAATAACAAAGAGGTTTCTTTTAAAAAAATATTTATTTATTTATTATGTATACAATATTCTGTCTGTGTGTATGCCTGCAGGCCAGAAGAGGGCACCAGACCTCATTGCAGATGGTTGTGAGCCACCATGTGGTTGCTGGGAATTGAACTCAGGACCTTTGGAAGAGCAGGCAATGCTCTTACCCTCTGAGCCATTTCTCCAACCCCAACAAAGAGGTTTTAAGTTTAATTTTTAGCTGACATTTTCTTTTCAAAAAATGAGACACTTCGTATTTTCTAGAGCCCATCTTTTGTTAAAAAACAAATTACCTACTTTTTATTTTAATATCAAATTATCTTAAAATACAGCATATGAAAGAGTCAGATGTTAGATAACAAGTGTATCATGAGCATTTACTGCGTGCTTATTGTTGCTGTAGGGAAAACACACTTTAAAATGGCTTCATTATTCCTGGTGACATGCATGTGATCCCTGTACTTGCAAGACAAAGGCATGAGGATAAGAAGTTCAAGATGAATTTGAGCTGTATTTGACCCTGTCACAACTTCTCCTTGGCCCCAAATAGCTTTGTTCTGACAGTGAAAAGTATTTTTTTTTTTTTTGGTTTTTCGAGACAGGGTTTCTCTGTGGTTTTGAAGCCTATCCTGGAACTAGCTCTTGTAGACCAGGCTGGTCTCGAACTCACAGAGATCCGCCTGCCTCTGCCTCCCGAGTGCAAGTATTTTTAAAAAGAACTTCATGAAAATGTGGTTTTAAAACTATTTAACTGGGATCCAGTCTGTTCATGAAAAACGTGGCTTTAAAATTATTTAACTGGGATCCAGTCTGTTTCTCTAGCCTTTGGAGGAAAAAGAGTTTTTAAAAACAAAACGAACAAAAAAATATTGGCTGTAAATAATGGATCCCAAAGCAAAACAGTGACATGTTTGACTAAAGCCTAAACTTGTGAGTAAAACTGAAAACCAAAATACACAAAAATTTGCCTTGATAAAGAATGAGGGATAAACGCACTTACCTGAGAGCGAGCCAATGTGAACACTGTACACTGAAGTAAAAAGGAAACTGGGGGTGTAGAGATGGCTCCGTAGTTAAAGCACTGGCTGTCCTTGCGTCCACACAGTGGCTTGCAACCATCTGTAACTCCAATCTTAGGTGATGTGACGCCCTCTTCTGCATGTGTGTGGTGCGTAGACAAACATGCATAACTGAGCTGGGCACCTTATTTGTATTAATATTATTTGTACTGTGCACAGGCCAGGCATCACTGGTCACTTGGCCCAGGCACCTCTAAAGCCACTCACACACCTCATGTCAATTTCCTTTCTTTTTTCCCCACGACATAACCACAATTCTGTTTTTAAAAACATAGATTAGTGTGCCCTGATGTTAAACTTTTTTTGCTTTGTTTTCCAAGACAGGGTTCCTCTCTGTAACAGCCTGACTATCCTAGAACTCACTTTGTAGACCATGCCGACCTTAAACTTACAGAGATCCTCTTGTCTCTGCCTTCCAAGTGCTGGGATTAAAGGTGTGCACCATAATGCCTGGCCCCAAACTAAATGGTTTTGATTTCAAAATATTGGGGCTAGTTAGATGGCTTAGTAGGTGAAGCCACTTGTCATGCAAGCCAGGCCGCCTGAGTTCCATCCCCAGAACCCACATAAATGTAGAAGGCCTCTGACTTCCACATATGAGCCATGGCACATTCTGTCTCCTCCTCCATATGTACAAATAAGAAATTTTAAAAATACTTCAATCTGCCTTACAAGTCAAAATGCAGCCATGGTGCTAAGCTTCCTTTGGAGCGCTGTCTGCAATGCATGAGAGTTGTGGAGTGAAAAGTTGGAAGCAATGGAGTAACTCTTGGTGCATCTGTGTGACAAGGAACATGTATTTGGTATATCAGTGTGGCAAAAGCATGCATTTGGTACATGTGTATAACAAGGAACATGCATCTGGTGCATCTGTGTGACAAGGAGCATGCATTTGGTTCATCTGTGTGGTAAGAGCATGCATTTGGTGTATCTGTGTGACGAGCATGCATTTGGTACATCTTTGTGACAAGGAACATGCATTTGTGGCAAGAGCATGGTTTTGGTGACTGTAACAAGAGCATACATTTGTTGTATCTGTGTGACAGAAGCATGCATTTGGTGCATCTGTGTGACAAGAGCATGCTTTTGGTGACTATAACAATAGCATGCATTTGATGCATCTGTTTGACAAGAGAATGCTTTTGATGACTATAACAGGAGCATGGATTTGGTGTATATGTGTAACAAGAGCATGCATCTGTGTGGCAAGAGTATGCATTTGGTGTATCTGTGTAACAACAACATGCATCTGTGTGACAGCATGCATTTGGTATATCTGCATTACAAGAGCATGCATTTGGTGCATCTGTGTTACAAGAGCATGCATTTGATGTATCTGCATTACAAGAGCATGCACTTGGTGTATCTGTGTTACAAGAGCATGCATTTGATGTATCTGTGTTACAAGAGCATGCACTTGATGTATCTGTGTTACAAGAGCATGCTTTTGGTGTATCTGCATTACAAGAGCATGCATTTGATGTATCTGTGCTACAAGAGCATGCATTTGGTGCATCTGTGTGACAAGAGCATGCATTTGGTATATCTGTGTTACAAAAGCATACATTGGGCGCATCCATGTGACAAGGAGCATACATCTGTCAAATCTGATTGTTGCAGCCTTTAACACACAGAGAAATGCTTATGAAGTAATTTGAAGTAGGAAACACAAGATAAAAATGTAAGTACAGCACAACCAAAATTGTGCAGAAAAATCAAGCTAATATAAAATGTAAAATTGGAGCTCCCTTTTCCCACGTTGACATTTTTCTAGATTCTCAAAAGTACAGAATTCAGTGGTTTTCAGAATATGCGCAGTGCTGAACACCTGCCATCCGGTCTCCCTCTGCCACTGGAAAGTCCAATCTAGCATTTCCATTGTCCAATCTAGCATTTCCATTGTCCAATCTAGCATTTCCATTGTCTCAGCAAGGAAAACGCTTGATAGCCGTTCCTCTCCTTTCTGTCTAAAGAGCTGTCCGTTCTAGGCATTTCTTTTGAGTGGACCATACAATATGTGTCTTCTTTTTCTTCCTTTGTTTATTCAGTATAATGTTTTGAGATTTATCTCTATTGTAACAGGTCTAAATATTTTATTTCTTATTGCTGAATCCTGTTCAGATACATGGCTTAACCACATTGTGTTTACCCACTTATTAGTTGATGGACATTTTGTGGCATTTCTCCTTTTGTAATATTACAAATAATGCTACTGTGTATATTCCTGTATGAAGTCTGAAGAAATACATATTCTTAGATTTTGCGCATGTAAACCTAAGAGTGGATCATTAAGTAATGATGTTTAACAGTTGTAAATTGCTTCTTTTTAAAAAGTATTTTCTATTTTCGTGATTTTCTACAACAAATATTAATTGTATTGAGTTGTTAAGACCATTCCTGGAGCCGGGAGGTGGTGGCTCACACCTTTAACCCCAACACTCTGGAGGCAGAGGCGGGCAGATCTTTGTGAGTTTGAGGTCAGCCTGTGTTGAAATAACCAGACTAGCTAAGGATAAAACAATTATATTTTATTTATTATAAGGGGAAAACTCACGAAACAGGAAACGAGAACTCCAAGCACAGCAATGTCCCGCGGGGGGGGGGGGGAGGCAGACACGGAGGTGCACACCTTTTTTTACCCTGGGTCCCAGAGAAGCCACGCCTTAACTAAGACCCACCTCTTAAAGATTATTGGTTAACAAGGCTTTTCCCATTAATCCTGGTCTAGAAAGTGAGTTTCAGGATGTCCAGGGCTACACAGAGGAAACCCTGTCTTGAAAAAAACAAAACAAAAAACAAACAAACAAATTCATGGAAATGAAAATCCCGATAGATGTATGAACATCAGGCTAGCAATTTGACCGTTTATTGGGGTTTTCATTGTCCATGAATGGTCTGCTTTAATTTTAGTGCCCCCCCCCACACCCAGCATCAGCTTGAGTCTTTGTACCTGTTTCATTTTACTGTGGAGATCTACTCTAATGTAGCCCTGAATCTTGGGAAAGTCTGCCTCGCATCTGTGGGTGTTAGTGAATACACAGGGGAGCCAGCCATCTCTGCTCACCATCGTGCTGGAGCACCGCAGGCCGCACTCCACGCAGAGTGTTTAGTTCTTCTCATTGCTGGCTGCCAGCTGGTGTTCCCCGTTGGCAGTTACCATAGTTGGCTTACTCTTCCTGGTGGCAGGTGGCCCTTTGCCTCCGTTTGATTATGAGAGAGGTAAGGTTGGAGTAAGCCTCCTGGTTTTTAGATGGGTCTGTGCATGGGGTGTCGTGTTCCCCACTCCTACGCCGTGGCTTTTTTAGAAAGGAAATGTCTGGGTCCAGGAAAAACGTATTCGCGGTTTCTCCAAGTATTGCCACATTTCTTTTCAGGAAGGTTGCTTCATCCTCCAGCTCACCAGCGGCACACGAGCTTGGCCCTTCCCACTCCGGGTGTCATTCCACTGCCCTGATTTTGCTAGTTAATGAATGTGAAGTGCGTCTCAGTAACAGTTTCTATTTGGATTTCCTCTTCTGCGAACCATCTGCTTGTGGCTTCGCCCGCTCCCCTCTTGGGAGCAGAACTTCTTGACTCCTGTTATAATAATGAATAATCCGTTTTGTAGTTTTCTTGTTATAGTTGCTAATATGGTGGTTTCTATTTCCGTTTCCTTTTGGAAGGGAGATGCGCTGCACACATGCTGTTGAAGTAATAAGGTAATCTTTGTTTTCAGCCCAGATGTCAGAGCCTTCCTTCAGATGGACAGCCCCAGACACCAGTCAGATCCATCGGAGGATGAGGATGAAAGAAATGCTCCGAAGGTAGCCACTGCAGAGACGCGGTCTTGTGCGAGACCAGCGTTGTGTGTGTGCTGGGCTTCCTACACTGTGGAACGCCTAGAAACAGTGTTGCACTTTATGTGAGACCAGCGTTGACTGGGAACTAAGTAGCCATGTCTGTGCCCAGCTTCCTGCACTGTGGGATGCCTAGAAACAGTGTTGTGCTATTTACTGAGTATTCCCCTCTTTTATCTTTTCGTTGTCTGCGTGTAGTATTGTATGATTCACGTGTGTGGACATGTGTATAGAAGTGCGTGTGTGTGTGTGTGTGTGTGTGTGTGTGTGTGTGTAGGCCAAGGTTGATATTAGGAATCTTCTGTGGTACTTTTAGCATTTTACTCAGTGAAGCAGGTTCTGCAGTCAGATCTCACCAACATGGCTAGTCTTGCTGGCAGCTTGCTCTGGGGATCCCATCTCCACCATTGAGGCTAGAATTACAGGTGAGCCACCATGCCCACCTGGTATGTATGTGGGTCCTGGGGCTCCAGACTCCAGTCCTCTTGCTTTCTTTAACTACTGAGCCATCTTCCCAGCCCCCGTCACTATCTCTTACAAGATACATAACAAATTATATTTTTATAGTAAAAAGCATAATGCAGGTTGTTCTTAATATTGAAATTAAATAGAACAAACTTCTTTGGGAAACTATTTTTAATATTCTCGTTTGGGTGCTGTGAAGAAAGAAAATTACAAAATATAAATCAGGGATCTGTATGTAATGTAAGTAGAAGTACAAACACTACATGATCTTGGAAAGCAGTTAAGCAATGTACGTCAAATATAAAAACTACTCACTTAGGAATTGATATAGATGGGCTAATCTGTCACAGAGAAAAATCCATGCTTTTTTCAGCATGATGATGCTTGTTCTAATACGTATTTTTAAAGTAAATTTGGCATACTAGTATATGAAATCAATATATAAATGTTTATGCATATTCACATTGAAATATAGAATCTTTATAAAAGATACACAAAAGTGAAATGAAATGTATAAATATTAGCATAATCTGTTGGCAAGGGTATGGATAAAAATCACCTGTCTCCTACTTTCCATGTTTTTCAGTTCTAGGCTTGTGCTCTTAATTAAAGACAAGATATTCAAATAGTTCCTTAAGGAGTAAAGTTCATGTAAACATGACTTTCCAGACTTAGTCTGCTACTTATATAAAAATATGTTGATTTAGATTATTGAAGAATGTGTTTTTCAAGAACTTTTTAATTGCATTTATTTATTTGAGTGTGTATTCATGGGCATGCATGTGTGGGCATGGGTTTGGAGGTCAGAGGACAACCTGTGGGAGTTGCTTTTCTCCTTCCACCAGATGGGTCCCCAGGGAATTAAACTTGTTACAAGGAGAGCAGGCCCTTTGTCCCAGCCGCCCAGCTAGCTTACACCCGAAATAACCACACAGAAACTGTATTAATTAAAACACTGCCTGGCCCATTAGCTCTGACTTCTTATTGGCTAATTGTTACATATAATTTAACCCATTTCTATTAATCTGTGTATCCCCATGTGACTGTGGCTTACTGGAGATTCTAACCGGCATCCGTCTCAGGCAGAAGATCATGGCATTTCTCTCTGCCCTTCTTCCCAGCATTCAGTTCTCTCTTCTCCACCTACCTAAGTTCTGCCTTATCAGGCCCAAAGCAGTTTCTTTATTCATTAACCAATGAAAGCAACACATGAACAGAAGAGCCTCCTACACCACAAACTCAGTTCCTCAGGCTTGGTGGCAGTGCCTTCACCTGCTCTGCTTAGCTACCTCACCAGCCTGATTACTAAGAACTTTTAAATCACCAAATGAAGTTCATAGCTAGAGGAGTTCGTGTAGCTTTCTAGAACTAAAACCCTTAATTTTATTCTTAGGAACAGTGCTTTAACCATTGAGCCATCTCTCTAGTGCCCCTCACCCCCTTCATTTAAGGCAAAAAAAATATAAGTCAAGGGAAATCAATTAACAGAATCTCAATTAGTTGTCAGTAAATCTTACCTTACCATCGGTGCAGTGATGGATATCACCTATTAGCATGATGGGTACAGTGAAACATTGTCTAATTTACATTTGACCATTTCAGGGACATGCTCCTCTAGGAAAAACATTACCAAGTAGTAAATATTAGCTGTGTATTAATATAAATTGGGGATAAATTGTCCATGTTGTTTAACCCACACTTTGTCTTTTTGCATCTATGTAAGAAAAATCCTTCTAAAGGAAGAATGTCAGTGAAAAGAACATAGGCTAAAAGAATCAGTATGTGAATTTATTTTGTAGTTATATTTTAGGATTCTGTAAAACACTATGATTTAATCTGTAAAACACTGTATTATTTGATCCTGCATTTAATCTCATGTTAAATTAAACCAGAGCAAACCTCATTTCACGAACCAGCATATTTACAGATTGATCAGCCTTGAGTTGCACTATTGTGATTCGTGTATTCCTGCCTCTGGGGTTTGAAAATTCATTACGTAGAAGTTTTTCATATCGACATATTAGATAGCAAATGAATTAGGGTTGTAACTTTAAAGTTAGCTTTACTGTTTTTAAATAACAAACCTGCTTCAGAACGTTTGAAGGGTGAGAGGGTTTGCAATTTATTTCTATAAAGTATTATGTTTCCTGGAGATTATAAATCTGAACTTGATTTCAATAAAAAATATGATAAGTTTACATGGAATATTCTTGTAAAGATCTGTGTACTAAACACACATACAAGTCATTTGACTTCCTGAATGTATAAAGAACTTGCAGGTGGATGTATGGGAAGCAGGCTTCATTTGCACTGACTTTTGTGACAGCGTCCTCTGTGGGATGGGCTTGAGACGCAGAGGGAGAATGCACGCCCAGAGGACCTGCCCTGATCCCTTGTACCTCCAGAGAAAACAGGTGCCCCCATGACAGGATCACTAAATCCAGCTTGTGGAATTTTGAGTTGAGTTTTGAGCTCTTGCTGAATTAGGATCTTTTGACGTTAAATTGCTTTATGGCATAGCAGGCAAATAAGGATTCGCTGCTAAGTTGATCCTGGTTTTTAATTTACTAGGTCTAAAATTTTGGAACTACTGTACCTGGGAATCCAATAAAGTCCTGTTGTGTTTACTTTAGAGATAAAATTATCAGGGGCTGAGAGAGAAATCAGCCTGCCAGTGGGTGAACCTGAGTTTGGATCCCTGGTGTCCAGAGGAGAACTGAGTTATGGCGGTGTAGCTCCTGCACCTGGGTGGAGACCCATCCTGGGCCAGCTATTCTGACAGAAATGCCGAGCCCCAGGCTCAGAGATAGACTGTCTTTAAAAAAGGTGTTTAAAAACAAAGGAGGGTACAGTCAGTCTCCTGCCTCCACACCGTACTGAGACTATCTACTATTCACAGCCATCCCTACCATCATTCTGGCTGTAAATGCTTCTTTAATAAATCTGCAAACAATTAGCCATCATCACCGGTATTTAAATGTGGGAGTGATTCCTCTCACGAAAGTGAGTTCAGTGCTTGTCTCTCCTAAGCAACTGTGGTGACTTCCTCCGTTTTCTACCCAGATAAGTGTTGTTTCTGGATTATCTTTTTCCTTGCAACTGCTCTTGAAAGTCACCATGATAAAACAGCTACTTATATTGAGTATATTTCAAGAACTTTAGATTCCTTTAACATGGATTGTCTGTTGTACAGTTATGTACTTTTATGTCAAAGCTTCCATTGACTGATAATGTTTGACACTAATGAGAACACTGTTTTTCCCTTAGACACACTCTACCTCACAGAACATCAACCTGGGACCAACTGGAAATCCTCAGTAGGTTTAACTTATTTCAACTTTTAAGACGTGCTGTTTTGAGGATGTGCATTTGTGTGAAGTTAGAGCATTTTAACGGAGCCTGTGGAGTGTGTCCGTGTGACAGTGAATGTAATGCTGCCGTTTGTTTCAGAGCTCTAGGGAGCCCACTAAAGGCTGTTTACTGTGCGTGTTTGCTTGTGTGCGTGCACACAGTCATGGAATGTCTGTGGAAATCAGAAGACTGCTTGTGGGAGTTGATTTTCTCCTTCTACCGTGTGGGCTCTGGGGTAGAATCCAGGTTGTCGGGCTTGGTGGCATGGAGAATCAGGGACTTACATGGGAAACACTGGAGACTTCTCTCTACCAGAAAGCTTTCTTGGCCTCTTTACTAGGTGCTGGCAACTAGTACCTTGTTTTTCAGAATTACCCAGTACCTAATACTACTCGAACTGATGTAGTTAAGTTTCTTCACCAGTAGCAGTGGTTAGGTTTGTGAGGAATACAACTGTCTTAGAAAGAAGCTCCTTTGAGAGAGATAGCTGTATCTATATATTATAATGCATGTAAAGGTTTGCCTCCTTTTTTCTCTTAGAATAATATGAAGTACCTCTTAGGTGTTTAAAGGGTCTTATCTAGTTTAGTCGGGAAGGAGCTCCTATTGCTCTTAACAAAGGTGATGAACTAGTATAAAAGCTTGAGAAATCTTGCCCATGGATTTTGTCTCCCAAATTAATCTGTTAACTTAATGAGATACAGGAAATGTTTAAATGTTTATATCTTAATTTCTAGAAGACTCATGTTTTTCCATTGTTAATTTCTTTCAGTGCTAAACCAAGTGACTTTGATTTTTTAAAAGTTATTGGAAAGGGCAGCTTTGGCAAGGTAAGGGTTTTGTTTCTTCATGTTCCCATTCTGTGATTAAGCACTTTAATGAGTTTCTGATTTGCATGTTGAGTCATGGGGATTTTTTTGTTTGCAAGATATGGAGTTAATATTAATATCCCTTTTCTGCCAAGCCTTGACAGAATTCTTAAGGAGACAAGGTGTGTGCTGAAGTTCTAAGATGAAGTGTGTTTGTCCAGTATATATTATTGAGAACTTAGTGTGTGTCAGGTGTGTGTCGGGGTTCTGTTGAGAAAACTGACTTAGTGTGGCTGACAGCCTTTTGGGGTGAGTAGTCTATGAAGAAATACGCTCACGTCAGTGTAAATGACAATGGGGCGGTATTGAAATGAAGAAGGCGCATTGACAGGAAACATCCTTTGTTAATGGAGGCTAGAAGGACAATCATACGGGAAACCCTGTGTGAGACCCTGCTTAGTCTGAGCGCATCAGACCCATCACAGAACTGGACAGTGTCCAGCCATGCTGAGAAGGGCCACGTTGCCAGGAAAAGGGTCATAGGTGAATTTATCTGAATCACCAAATATATTCTCTTTTTGCAATTTAAAAATCTGTAGTAAACATGAAGATGTAGTTGTTTAATTATATTTTCTTATCGTTGTAGCTGTTAGGATCGTCCGGTTTTTTGAGTTTCTTTGAGAGCAGAAACTGACCGCACTCTGTTTGTGTTTGTTTGTTCATCTAATGCATAGTGATCACGTGTTATATTCTGGGCTGTGCCCATGTAAGAAGCCGAGAGTGAGAAGTGGGTGAAAATTCTCAGTAATGATAGTTTATCAGAATATTATAGATGATCTGCCATTAAAAACACAAATGTTGACAAACATCAAGGAGTTAGCGCCAGTCAACCTGTACAAGTCAACCCCCGCCTCTCCCCCCCACACACACTCTCCCCCTAAAAACAACAAACCATTAGCTGGATATGCTGGTGCATGCTTATAATCCCAGCTAATTATTAGGGAGGCGGGGGGGGGGGGGGGGTTGTGAGTTCAAAGCCAGCCTGGGCAACATAGCATGATGTCATCTCTGAAACAGCGAAATAAAAATACTGGGATTTTTGTTGTTGTTTTGGAACTCTGCTGATGCCTAGAATCCACAGAATTGGTTCTTGTATATAAAATGAAATGTCAGATACTATTAATCTTTTTCCATGTGGGTATATAGCCGATATTACAGTTTAATGAAACCCTGGACCCAACAACACAGTGATCTGCAAGACCTCCTCCAGCATCTGCCTTGCATTCCTATATGAATAAGTCTGGTTTTAGATGCTATGATTTGTAGTTCTGTCTCCAGACCTGTTTTCTGTTCACCGGTTTGCCTGTGTATCCTGGCACCCGTGCTGCGCTGTCCTGACACTGTGACACTGTAGCCTGATGGCCAGCACAAGGCCATTCCTTCTTCAGGACGATATTCTTAGCCTTTCCCATGTCTGCATACATCTTAACATCATGTCTACTACTCCAAAACATACATGGAATTTAATTTGGATTACATTAAATCTGAGATGAATTTGGGGGGAGAATTAATGTCTTTATGATGGTGTTATATCTATGGACATGGTATAACCTTTTCAATAAATAGACATTTAAAATCTTTTGGACATTTTATAATGTCCTAAATACAATTTTATACCTTATTTATTTAAATTTGTTCTCTGGTGGTTCTTTTTGAACTGTTGAGAACTTGTTAGTCATTGATGCTGAGTGTATTTAGGACCTGCGACACACTGAACAGGAACACATACGCACCAGGAAAGGCATATACATGCATGCTCTAGACATGATTATTTATAAGTAGTTTATCAAGAGTATATGCATTATAATAGAATGCTCTGTGTGATAGCATAGAGCATGAAATCAAGACTGTATTATAGTATAAATATTATGTAGAGTGAAAGAAATGAAAAACATTTTATCTGTATAATTTTAATTGCATAATTTTTAAAAGTGAAACTTACTAGTTATTGCAGGTTAGGACAGTGTGTTCTAACTTTGAGGAGCTGGGGAGAGTCATGACTGTGATTGGGCTAGAGGGGCTTCCGGAGACTCGACTTGTTTTATTTGACCTACGTAGTGTATGTATGTTGATCACTTTATAAAATCTTACCAAGATTTGTGTATTAATACATATAAGCTGTGTTTGATAATAACTTCAGATTCTGTAAAGCAATATAAACACACACATTTCAGTAAATAAAAGTCTAACACACAAAAAAGGAAGCAAAGCAAGCAGGGCCCTAGCCTGTTTGAAAAAAGTGTGAGAGTCAGCTGAACTTGGATGTGGCCCTCTAGTGGGTCTGGCCGCTCTTTCCAGGGTGTGGTATCTGTTCACTTCCCATCTGTTGTCAAATTAGACAGTACACTAAAGGAAGAAAACGTTGTTGGGAGATCAGAGTCTTCTGCGTGCTGGAGTCTGTGATGTATGCTCTAAGAATGCATTTGAGATGAGCCAATGTATCTGAGAAAGAAGGGTCAGGCAGGTGGGAGTTACCAGAAAAAGGGAAAAAATAGAGAAAGGAAGAATGTTTCTCTGCCCAGTGCTGTAGAGAATGTAAAAAATGAGGAATAGCAGTTAGGCAGAGGACATTTCATTTCAAGGTGTTTTGACTCCATCTCTACGATTTACAAACATTTTAAAAATCAGTCGACTTATTTTGGAGAGAACTTTTGGTAGCACGCTTCTCACGCACCTCGTGTAATACGGTACATTTGTCACAACAAAGCACTGTTGGTGCTATATTAACACACGTGCATTGTTTATTCCGAGTTTGTAGCTTTTACCTTCTCTTTTCCACCCAGCTACCACTTGACACTTAGGCTTCATGTCTGCTTGGCTTCTTCTTGGCTTTCAGTTTCTAGACTTCCCTTGCTTTTGATGACCTTGACCGTTTTGAGGTCTGGTGATCTTGTGTGCTGTAGGAAGCCCCTCTGTGGTGCTGCTCTGATGTTTTTCTCATGTTTAGACTGAGATTGTATGTTTGGGTCAGAAGACAATGGAAGTTCTAGAAGTGTGACTACTAGCTCATGTGCTAAGACATCTCAGAATGCCTTGGGACATGTCATTTATTAATTATACAACTTGATTTATAGTGGTCTCAAATACCTTACAGTTATGGTCATGTATCACTTAACGGAAACGTATCTGAATAGATACATCCTAAGTGTTTTTATCGTTTGGAGGACGCCACAAAGTGTGCGCACACAAACTTAGGTATTACAGCCTACTGCAGATCTAGGTCATGCAATGTATACCCTTGTATGCCTGTCAGTCATTGACCAAAACACTGTCACGTGTAGCATGACCTTGACTATGTCTCCCTTTTCTGATACAATACCCTCTGTTTTCTAATGTATACCCACAAGCCAGACCATTATCAAACACAGTGGTCCATGTTATCTCTGACTTCTTGTGAATTCAGAGCCTGCAAGAGAAGCCTTCATAAAGTAGCTGTGCATTTTGGTCACTGAAAAAAATTAACTCCCCCCCCCCGCCCCCCGTAGCCATGAAGTTCATAGCTCCAGTATTTTCTCTTTGTGTATTCACCTGTGCATATCAGGGTGTGTGCATAGTCATCAGAAAGCAAATTGTCGGAGTTCCTTCTTTCTGACCTCAAGCGTCCCAGGAATCAAAGTTGTCATCAGGCCCCGCTTCCGTGTTCTCTAAGCAAACTCTTCAGGGCTCAAGGCTGACACCAACAGAAAGTCCTTGTGTGATGACTAGTAAAAAATCTCATTGCCAATTTATTATGTAACAAATAAATTATTTCAAATAATCAAATAATCAAAACCCTTTTTGTCTTATTAAAATGTCTAAAACAAAGTAGAATTACCAAAGTAAATTCAGCACTGTTCAGTCTTCAAAACAAAACATAGGTTCCTGCGGACTTGCTTTTTCGAAACTGTAAGAACCAGTGTGTGTTGACAGGAATACCTGTAAAGACTTCACCTCTTCAACTGTTTGCAAATCTAACAGGTTCTCCTTGCAAAACGGAAACTGGATGGGAAATTTTATGCCGTCAAGGTGTTACAGAAAAAAATAGTTCTCAACAGGAAAGAGGTAAAATCAAGTAGCTCTTGTTTCTCCTGAGCCTGTTTTCTTTCTCCGCAGTTGTTTTCTGGTATATAATACAAATCGGTATTTTGCTTTCTTTCCAGCAAAAACATATTATGGCTGAACGCAATGTGCTCTTGAAGAATGTAAAACATCCATTTCTGGTTGGATTGCACTATTCTTTCCAAACAACTGAAAAGCTTTATTTTGTTCTGGATTTTGTTAATGGAGGGGAGGTGAGTTTTATAATTAGCTGTCTCATACAGACAATGGCTAGAGAAAAAACATAGCATGAAATCTGAAAGGTTCTTATGTAACCTTTGAGCTGACAGCGCTTTATCAACAGCTGTTTGTAGCATGGAAGCAGCTTTCTACAGACCACATGCCGTGCAGGACACAGAGACTACAGGCACCGTGTGTGGGTGCATCATTAAAACTGGAGCTCAGGAATGCAAACTGCGATGTTAGCATAAGACACGATGTGTAATCTAGATAAGGGCTGCTTCAACCGCTGCCTGTAAATGGTAGCTCGACGCGTTACTTTCTAAAGGGATCAAACGGTTAATCAGTGAGGTGACCTCCGCATAGTGAGGTGATCAGTGAGGTGATCCGCCAGCGTGGGAACGGCTTCATGTTGTGTTGTTTCAATGTGTTAAAGATTCTGGCAAGATCTCTCTCAGAGAAGATATTATTGTTGTTCGAAACAGGGTTTCCCTGTGTAGTCCTGGCTGTCCTGGAACTCACTTGTAGATCATATTGGCCTGGAACTGAGAGAGATCCCCACCGGTCTCTGCCTCCCAAGTACTGGGATCAAAGGCATTTGCCACCACTGCCCAGCGAGAAATGATTTTTTTTTTTAAAGAAAAGGATCATTTTAATCACAGAGACCTCTTGTAAAACCTCCTATCTTTACAAAGAAATCATCTATCCTTCCATCTAAGCAAAGAGAAAAAAAATGTTCCGTGTCACTGTGCTTCAGTTAACTATAGAATAAAGGTAACATAAAAAGAAATATAAAATTAGGCACAATCAATAGCAAAGCGAAGTTCAGAGAAGGTAACTTGGTCTGTTTTACTGCCTCCCTGTGTCTGAAATGTTGACCGGAGCCTCCTAAGCAGATGAGGGACGACGTTCCTCCTTTATCTGTGCTTGCTTCATGGTGATTTAGGATTTGCTTTGGGCCCTTTTTGCACAGTGGGTGTTGATACCTGAGCAGTGCAGATAGAAGGAGGCAGGCTTGTCATCTCCAAGAGGAGCTTCGCTGGGATAACTGGAGGTGGGGGGAGAAGGGCCGTAGAAGAGACTGGTGGGTGGTAAGTGAGGCTGGCAGTGGGTAGGCTGGAAGTAAAGACCAAGGAAGAGGGTAGGCGCAGACTGTGGTTTACTGTTGTTGGTTTTTTTTCTTTTAGGGCACTGTCTTGTTTTTGCTGTTTTGAGACAAGGCCCTGCTGTGTGTATAGTTCTTTCCAACTTGTCTCTGTGGAGCCGTGCTGGCCTTAAACTTGTGGCAGTCTCTCTGCCTCAGCCTCCTGAGTGCTGGGCTTATAGGCTTGAGCCGCCAGACCTGGCTCTGTTTGTTTGGGTCTCTCTAGGTAACCTAGGCGGTAGGCCTCCAACTCAGCCCTCCCTCCTCAGCGACCCCCCCCCCCCCGCGCTGACCTGTAGGCTTGTACCACTGTGACCAACTCTTCTGCTGTCCTTGCCATCTTTGCCTCCTGATACTCATCCCTAACAATCTTGACATGAGATATGGAGTCTTTGTGTACTACTCAATCTCTTCATTAGAACCAAGTGGAATATCAGAAAATAAGTTATGGGATGCTGGGCAGATCAGCCTTTCTGAACTCGTTTCCTCATTGATTCCCTGCCTCAAGACTATGGGGAAGATTAAATAGTACACGTTTATGAAGACCTCGGCATAGAGCTTTTGATTTGCTAAGTCGTCCGGAGGCCCAGAATGCTAATTACACGGCCACATCAAAGTTGTAGGTTTTCCTTAGTAATCTTTTCTGAAGTGGTTGTCAGGAATGGTGCAGACTGTGCCCTTGAGGTCTGAGAGGAGGCAGCAAGGATTGTCAGAGATGCGCTCTGAAGACAGGCAGTGCAGTAGCTGCATGAGAGGTGAGGGGCAGGAGATGAGAGATCACACAGGGCAGCAATCAGATGGCTCCCCTCGCTCAGACCATCAGAAGCAGTGTTTCGTGTTCTGCCGCGTGACTGATGCTGATGGCTTCCCTCGCTCTTGCAGCTCTTTTTTCACTTACAAAGAGAACGGTCTTTTCCTGAACACAGAGCGCGGTTCTACGCTGCTGAAATCGCCAGTGCCTTGGGTTACCTGCACTCCATCAAAATAGTGTACAGGTGAGTCATGTGTTCCGGTCATATGGAGAATACCTCTCAAATGCTTCATTTCACACAGTGTTCAGACTTTTCTTTTTTTTTACTTTGATGTAGAGACTTGAAGCCAGAGAATATTCTTTTGGATTCTATGGTGAGTGTTGTCTTCTTAAACATCTTGTAGGATTCCGTTGTTGTGGTGGTTCTGCAGAGTAGGAAGAATGTCTTAGAGGTTCCCCACTGTATGACTGAGTTTCTGTAATGTTCCTGAAGTGACACTAGGCTTTGGGGAGACCTGCTCCGGTTTTTAAGGGGACAAGGTTGAAAGAAGAGAGCCCACAAAGATAAAGGACTGGCATGGAGGGCCCCTTGTGATGGGGTAGTTCTGTGTCCTGACTGTGGTGAGAGCTGCTGCAGCACACACATTGCATAGCACCACACACATGCACACAGACACGCACACATGCATGCACACACACAGGATTGTGCATATTCAAAATAATGACACCAAGTAAGGTCAGTATTGTAATTAGCAGTTTTCTTTTTTTTTTCTTTTTTTTGAATTTTTTCGAGACAGGGTTTCTCCGTAGCTTTTTTGGTTCCTGTCCTGGGACTAGCTCTTGTGGACCAGGCTGGCCTCGAACTCACAGAGATCCGCCTGCCTCTGCCTCCCGAGTGCTGGGATTAAAGGCGTGCGCCACCACCTCCCGGCTTTTTTGTTGTTGTTGTTGAATTAATTAGCAGTTTTCTACAAATGGTAGTTTCTTGCTTGACATGAAACAAAATGTCAGCATTGGTGTATGCTGGATGAGGTTACACTCTACTGGTTTTGCAATTTTGTTTGTTTTTGTAGTTATTTTAAAATAAAAAAGGTTTCAACATTATGAGTTCAGGTCCAGGGATGTAACTCGGTGGATAGAGTGATTGCTTAGCATGCCGGAAATCCTGGATTCACCTTACGGAGGGGGGGGGGGGGGGAGGGGGATTAATGGGCACAGTTGCACATGCCTGTAATTCCAGCCTTGAGAGGTGGAGGCAGAAGGGTCAGTAGGTAGTTCACGATGTCCTCCACTAGATAATAAACTTAAGGCAGCCTGGGCTATGAGACTCTGGCTCCAGAACTAAAAAGAATGGGCTAGCAGGGTTACACAGTGGGTGAAGGACACTTGCCACAACCTGAGCTCAGTGTCTGGGACCTGCGGTGGAAAGACAGCCCGCCCTCGAAAGTTGTCCCCATCTACACATCACGCGCCTCTCTTTCCCTTTCTCTCTCACTTGTGTGTGTACACATGCACACACACAGACACATACACGCACTTCTTTCTCTTGTGCGTGCACATGTGCACACACACAGACACATACACGCACTTCTCTCTCTCTCTTATACACACTCCTCTTTCTCTTTCTTTCTTGTGCTCTTTCACACATACATGCATAATTAATAAAGAAATGTTTTTTTTTTTTAAGTTAAGTAGCTAGAAGGATAGCTTATTGGAAAGAGCACCTGATAGTCTTACAGAGGACTCAGGTGTGGTTCCTGGGACCCACGTCGAGTGGCTCACAACCATCTGCATCTCTAGTTACAGAAGATCTGATGCCTTCTAGTAGTCTCAGGCACCTGCCCTCATGTGGTTACATAGACCCAGGCACGCATGCGTACACATAAAATACAAAGTTGTCATATTTAAAGCTTGCTAACTCATGTCTATGCATTGCTTCATCTCACTGCCCTGTGTTTGTCAGGGACATGTTGTCTTAACAGATTTCGGGCTTTGCAAAGAAGGAATTGCTATTTCTGATACCACCACCACCTTTTGTGGGACACCAGAGGTAAAAACTATGTCTGATTGTTGATGTAATTTATAAGATATAAATGTCACATATTCAGAAGAGGTGAAATACACTTCCTAGAGCCTCCAGCTTCCTGGAGATGTGAAGCGAACAGTGGGAATCTTCCGTTATGGATCTGAAATGCCCCAAGACCCTTTTGAATGATCTGACAGACATAACATGCTTATTTTTTAGTATTAAAAATATTTCTTGAAAGTCATTAAACATTTAATTATATTTCCAATCTTCTAGAAAGAATTTCAATCAGTAAAAATGTCCTAAAATTCATTGTGGGGGTAGTTGCACGGCACTGTGACCATACTGACTTCATTGAGCTGGACACTTTAGAGAGTGTTGGACAGTGTGTCCAACTATCTTATCACAGCTTTGTTGTATATGAACTGTGTCAGGGCTGGAGACACGGCTCAGCAGTTACGAGTACTTGCTGCTCTTGTGCAGGCTTGGGGTTCACACCCAGTACACACGGTGTGGTTCACAACTATCCATAACTTCAGTTCTAGAGGATCACAAACCCTCTTCTGGCGTCCAAGGGCACTGCATGCATGTGGTGTACATACATATATGCAGGCAAAATATACACACATAAAAATTAATTAAATCTAAAAATAGTTTTTAAATGATCTTAGCAGATACGGAAAACATTTTATAACTGCAGTTATAAATATTATAATTGGACTCAGTTCATTTTTAATAGGTGGTTGGAATATTCTGTAAAAAGTCATTTCATTAACAAGAAAATAAATCAGTAGATATGAAAGAAACTCACAAATGAGTATTTACCAGGGTGTATCTCATTCTCATGTTTCCAGGGGAGAATGCATATTTTTTTAATAGTAATCCTTACAGTTTGATTTAAATCTTTCTGTATACATGTATGAAAATGTTATAACCTTCATTAATATAACTAATGTTTGTGAATTTCTTTACAAATTAAAATAACTTAAGCTTTCTAAATTGGCTTGAAAATTGATTACTGTAATTCCTAATAATAATGGTCACTATGAGCTCAAGAATTCAAGGCCAACTTTAGTAATGTATTGAGACTGTAAGAGCAGATGAATTCTTTAAGTGGAAACATTTTAAATAATAATTAGATGGGTTTTGGGGGTTGTTTTTGTTTTGTTTTGTTTTGTTTGAGACAGGGTCTTATTTAGCCCAGGCTCCTCCTCCAAGTCCTGATCCTCACGTCTTCCTTCTTAGATCTAGAATAGCAGGCATGTACTGCCATGCCTGTCTCGCTTCTGAGATAACAAGCCTAAGGGAAGACCGTCTTCCGACACACACTCAGCATTGTGGTCTTCTTTTCTCTATGGCCCTAATCTCTGGATAAAGTGCCGTGTTCTTGTATTTGGAAGTGTTCTGGTTGACGTCACTGTGACAGAATGAGAATGTAAATCTCATTGAAAATCTAGATACTATGTTTTTAGTATGAGCACCCAGAATTTGTTGACTTTGTCTTCCACTCTCATCTTTTTCTGTAGTACCTTGCTCCTGAGGTGATCAGAAAACAGCCCTATGACAACACTGTGGATTGGTGGTGCCTGGGTGCTGTTCTCTACGAGATGCTGTATGGGCTGGTAGGTATTTCCACTACAGTATTGATAATACAGTAATCAATAATCTCAGGTGCGTAGATGAGATGGTACCAACAAAGCAGTATTGGCCTTGTCAGATGAGTTCAAAACCATATTAGGAATATGCATATGCAGAAAAACTTTTACTTTTGGGAGGAGGGATTTCAAGTCTTGGTTTCTCTGTGTAACAGCTCTGGCTGTCCTGGAACTTACTTTGTAGAGGAGCCTGGCCTTGAACTCACAGAAATCTGCTCATCTCTGTCTCCCACGCGCTGGGGATGATGAAAGGTGTGCGCTACCAGGCCCAGCACCTATCTACTGTTTCCGTGCTACTTTAGTTGTTTTCCTTGACGTGGAATTTCCTTGTTTTCTTTGTTTGTTTACACCAAGCATCACCTGCCTAATTTCAAAATGATGCGAATAAAGTTTTCAATAATAGCATATTATTATTGTTTTAAAAGATAGTAGTACCTTGGGGTTTGACCTTCCATTCTGTCTTTATGGGATTGAATTTCTGCATGCATTTTCATCTTGTATATCACTGGGTATCACCCATTTCCCTTCTCTGAAAACAAGGCTTAAAATATTCACTGAAATAAAATTATGTTTACTGTACAATTGAATTCCACAGTTTTCGGTAAGACACCTAAGACTATCCAGAGCCTTAAATGGATGTTTTATTACTACACTTGGAGATCACTCCAACTAGAGCAACCTGTTCAGGCTTCTTAGTTCATATATCTTCATATTTTTACCAGTATACTAATTTTTCGTGTGTGTGGGGGGGGGGGGGAGGCAGAGCTCACAGTACTGGGGTTACAGGCATTCCTGGCATTTTATGTAGGTACTGAAGATCTGAACTCAGGTTCTCGTGTTTGGACATCAAGCACTTTACTGACTAAGCCATCTCCCTAGCCCCTAAGTTTGTTTTGTTTTTCTTTGGCCCCTTTGAAGTTATTGGGGTTGCTTTCTAGGTACTTTCTATGGCCGTCTAAGTATACAGCAGCCCCATGCAGTGACCTCTGAGGTAGCAGCCAGTGCGGTGCTAAGCGCACCATCATCAGTTAAGGAAGGGAGAAGAGAGAGAGGAGAGAAAGACTCACTCACTCCTACAAAAATGGAGCTCAGTGAGGTTGAGCATATTCTAGATTCCACAGAAGAATAGACACAGGCAGCTGTCCTTCCCTTGACTGTGGATGCCTTGTTAAAAGTTGCTTTTTAAGTAATGCTGGTGACAGTGGATTTCAGATAACCACTTAATACCTTAACTTTATTTAGGCACTGATTGTCATCTAGATATGTCAGAATCCTTTGTATTTCTTTGAAGGACTTAGAAGTATAAAATAAGGTTATACTTTAAAAGGTAAAATTTTTGTCTTTCTTACAAAAAAAAAAGAAAACTGACAAGGCTGTAAAACTCCCTTAACTTTAAATATTATTTTTATTTCAAAACTTTTAGCTAGTTAATTAGCTGTAAGGCGTTCTCCCAATACTGTAATCATCACATGTACTTACGAAGGAACAGCATCTTCAGGTCTCTATCTATTTCTTTGGTGACTTTATTCTCAAATCTTAAATCATTTGACATTTGATCTGTCTGGAATGCCTGTTTCCAGTGACTCTGTCATCGCACCTCTGTGTCTTAGTCACTGTTTTGTTGCTGTGGAGACACCATGACCAAGGCAACTCTTCTAACTGGGACTTGCTGACGGTTTCAGAGGCTTAGTCCGTTGTCATGGTGAGGAAAATGGCACTGGAGCAGTAGCTGAGAGCTGCATCCTAGTCCACTGGCCAGGAGACGCTGGATCTGGCATGGGCCTTTGAAACCTCAAAGCCCACCACTAGTGACATGCTTCCTCCAACAAAGCCACACCTCCTGATCCTTCTAATCCTTCACAGTTAGCTCCACTCTGTGATGACTAAGCAAATGTATGAACCTACGGGGTGATTCTTACTCAAACCACTGTGTTCTGATATGGCCAGTCATTGCTTTCTGTGAAACATGGTATTACAGGCATGGGATTTAAAACAGTCTACACACAGCTACTGGAAGGCCTGACCCTATTTCATCCCGCAAGCATGTGTTAAGCTAGACAGTGCACCAAGCTTTAGAATCTCTGCCACAGACTATCTACCGATGTCTGTATTCCCCAGGAGGGCCATGAGTTTCTGCAACTGTCAAACCCAACTGCTCTCTAAAGAGCAAACCCAAGTACAACACCTTGGTCCTGGCTGGCCTGGAATTCATCCTGTAACCTTGCTGGAATCCACAGAGGTTCGCCTGCCTCTGACTTTGAGGCACTCGATTACAGGAGTAGGCTACCTCAGTGAGCAGTCCAGCATGTTTTCAACCATCTGCACATAAGTCACTAACCTCTGTTGCTTTGGATTTTTTCCCCCAGCCTCCTTTTTATTGCCGAGACGTTGCTGAAATGTATGATAATATTCTTCATAAGCCCCTGAATTTGAGGCCAGGAGTGAGCCTCACGGCGTGGTCCATTCTGGAAGAACTCCTAGAAAAAAACAGGCAGAATCGACTTGGTGCCAAAGAAGATTTCGTATGTATCCTATTTCTGAGTACCGATTGTTAAACTTATTTAAAATTTGAAGATAAATCCTTATTTTATTTGGTGTTAATGAAATAGTTGTTATTACAGAGTTGAAGGGGAGGGGCATTCTTGCCTCCAGTTTCTAGTTGTGTTTCTGTGCTTTAATTTAGTTCTGTCTTCATTTGATCTTAGTGACCGATTGCTGGATACCCGGTGTCCAGTTTTTGCATTCTGTTGCTTCTTGGTTTTCATTTGTGACAGTTTCTTCTCCATCTTCCTTTGTGAAGTGTCCTTTAGTATGTTTTTTAACAACTTTGATATTTTTGTCAGTTTAATTTTTTTTTTTTTTAGAAGAAAGTTTTACTACTTAGCTCAGAATCTAATGCCCCTGCCTCAGGCTCCAGAGTGCTAGGATTGGAAATGCATGCCATGCCCAGAAGTTTTATTTTTTTGTATCTTGTTGTTACTGTTTGTTTTGTTTTAAGACAAAGTCTGTATTGTGCAGGCTAACCTCAAACTTGCAGCAGTCCACCTGCCTCAGCCTCCCAAGTGCTGAGATTATAGAAATATGCCACCACACCCAACATGAGAAATTTAAAATTTTGTTGCTACATAATACAGACATTTCCCTGAACTTACAATGCAAACTATCCAACTCATAAGCTTTTGTGGGGTTTAAGGCTATGTAAATGTTTAAAGCATTTTCTCTTTGTGTTTTAGTTGTGAGCCTAACCTTTAATGGCTCTCCAGCCCAGAAAACATTCTCTTTATTAAGAACATTTTAAGGGACTGGAGCAGTAACTCAGTCCTTAAGAGGGCTGGTTGCGGTACATGCAGGCCAAACACCCATACATAAAAAATAATAAAATAATAATAAATTTTTAAGAATTGCTTTTGAGACAGGGCCTCACTATATGTGTACGACCTTGGCAGGACTTGAACTCACTAAGATCCACTTGCTTCTACCTCCCCAGTACTGCTATTAAATGCGTATGTCACCATTCAAGCCCAGCTTTAAAAGGATTTTGTTTTGTTTTGTGTTTTGTTTCTAGAGACAGGATTTCTCTGTAGCTTTGGAGCCTGTCCTGGAACTAGCTCTTGTAGACCAGGCTGACCTCGAACTCACAGAACTCCACCTGCCTCTGCTTCCTGAGTGCTGGGATTAAAGTTACATACCACCACTGCCCAGCTAAAAGGATTTTTTTAAAGTACCACTTTTCTGTATAAATAACTTTAAATTTCTTTTCTTTCTTCCTTTCTTTTTTTTTTTTTTTTGAGAATTTGCTGACACCCCCATGAGATAATTATGAAATCTGCCCATTGTTTCAGATCAGGGAACTCAATTTGCTCATGTTATCAATATTATGTTAACATGTCACAAACTGGTAAGAAACATGAACTTGTCAACTCCTTTTCCAGAAATTTGTGGAGGCTGTTTTCAGCCTTCAACTTGAACTATGTGGACAGTAGATGCTTCTGCTGCTACCCTCGCCCCCCTATTTCCTGCTGGCCGTTCAGTGGCTGGTTCTGTCATTGTCTCCCTCAGTCTTGTTCATGTTCATAACTGCTCCATCCCTTCATTGAGTTCATTGTCAGAAATGGCAACACTAGATGAGTCCGGCTGTTGCATCCTGGGCTTCTGAATAGTGTTGAAGAAAAAGTTTCAGGTTGGGATTCTAACAGTGCCAGTGTGCAGTGAGCTGGTCACAGGTTGGGGTTCGAGCAGTGCAGGTGTGCAGTGTTGCGGTCACAGGTTGGGGTTTGAGCAGTGCAGGTGTGCAGTGTGGCACACTAACAGTAGTTTTAGTAATGACAAAATGTAAGTACTAAAACTACTGTTTTAATTTTCTAGCTTGAAATCCAGAATCATCCTTTTTTTGAATCACTCAGCTGGACTGATCTTGTACAGAAAAAAATCCCACCGCCGTTTAACCCTAATGTGGTAAGTCCATAGTTTTCTAAAATAGTGAAAATTACAACTGTGATTTTGGAGATGGACCCTCAAAGCTGACCAGAGTCAAAAGGGGTTGGTCCCTAAGTATTTTTGCAATCTGTCACTGAGAGGGTCCTAGCTCAGGGGTAGAGGACTTGCCAGTGTTCCACCAAAGGGAAAAAAAGAAAAGAAAATAACAACTTGATGGTGACCAATAAGATCCTGGTTAGATGAAGTTTCTTCCTACATAGTAATCATGAAATGCTTTGCAAACATCAAAAGGGTGATCTTAATAAAGAGATGTACACTAAGGAGCCATTATCTTTTCTATCCATACTACAACATTCAAGTAATGATAATAATGTTTTTCCAGGGACAGATAAATATGTGTGTGTGGTCTATGTACATATTTGTGTGAATGTATATATATATATGCATGCATGTGAACCGTGCACCAAGGTCGAAGCATCCTCCACAGTCTTGTGCACCATAGCTTTTGAGGCAGGTTCTCTCACTGAACCCGAGAGCACTCATTTCAGCGGGGCTGGCTTGCCAGTGAGCTGTAGGATCCACCTTCTCTGCCTCCCTCCTCCCTGGTGCTGGAATCACACGTGTGTAACACTGATCTGCCTGGGACATGGGTCCTGGAGATTTGAACTCGGGTCCTCATGCTTGCTTGCCAAATACTTTTATCAGTTCAGCTGTATCCTTAGCCCTGGGCAAAATCATTTAATGAGAATATAGATTGTCATGTCTTTTCTAGAAAATAGTAAGAGTGTTATTAAAATATCATGTTCATTTTAGCTAAACTAGTGAAAGTAGTTCACCTAAAGATACATTTTTTAAACAAAAAGCCGATCAGAGATGTGTTTGATAACACATCATGTCAAATTAACAGCATGTCAAATTTTAGCAACTAATATATAGTAATAAAGAAATTGTCAGTAATAATGTTAGTAACCTCTGGTAGCTTTCTTTGTAGAGATACATATTTTGTATTTGGTCATCGTATATAACCTGCTCCTCAGATGAGTTGTGAACTTACTACTATCAATGTTCTCATTAGTGTATCTGTTTATAAGTGAGTAAATGGACAGACAGTCACAGCTGAAAAGTGACAGTGTCAATATTCAAGTCTGGGTGGGATTCCAAAGTCATTGTTGTGTGTTTACGTGGGGGTGGGATTCCAAAGTCATTGTTGTTGTTGTTGTGTGTTTGAGTGGGGGTGGGATTCCAAAGTCATTGTTGTTGTGTGTTTGCGTGGGGTGGAATTCCAAAGTCATTGTTGTTGTGTGTTTGCGTGAGGTGGAATTCCAAAGTCATTGTTGTGTGTTTGCATGGGGTGGAATTCCAAAGTCATTGTTGTGTGTTTGCATGGGGTGGGATTCCAAAGTCATTGTTGTTGTGTGTTTGTGTGGGGTGGAATTCCAAAGTCGTTGTTGTGTGTTTGCGTGGGGTGGAATTCCAAAGTCATTGTTGTGTGTTTGCATGGGGTGGGATTCCAAAGTCATTGTTGTTGTTGTTGTTGTGTGTTTGCATGGGGGTGGGATTCCAAAGTCGTCGTTGTTGTGTGTTTTTGTGGGGGTGGGATTCCAAAGTCGTTGTTGTTGTGTGTTTGCGTGGGGGTGGGATTCCAAAGTCATTGTTGTTGTTGTTGTGTGTTTGCTTGGGGGTGGGATTCCAAAGTCATTGTTGTGTGTTGGCTTGGGTGTGCATGCACGTGAGTGCACATCCCTGTGAAGGCCAGAGGAAATCCTTGGTGTCATTCCTTGGGCATCATCAGTTTTATTTTGTGTTTTGAGACAAAGACCCACTGGCCTGAAATGAGGCTGACTGAGCAGCTAACCAGGGTTTGGCTGCTGCACCTCCCCAGTGCTGGATGATGCAGTGTGACGCAGGTTCTCCTGTCTACAGAGCAAGCGCTTCAGCCAGTGAGCCATTCCCCGCCCTAATCTCCTCATTTGATGTCGCTGTGAAACATAGAGGGATGAGGGCATTACTTCAAAAAGTCTCTGTACTTTGGCTTGGCTAAAATTCAGATTCTGTGCATAATAGCTGTGATACTTCACATCTGCCGACACAACAGTATTTTTATTCTGACTTACTTTCTGTAATTCAGAATTGATGCTTTCAAAAATGACTACTTTGGTAAGGATAATTTTTGTCCTGATGTTTACTTTGGGGTTAGAGAGGCTCAATCCCCCATCCTAACTTCACTGAAGAGGAAACAGGCGTGTAAGAAGAAGGTAATCATATAAGGAATTGTAGCTGACTACTCTCATAATCAGAATGTGATGACGGTTTTTGGTGTGTTTATGTCTGTGTGTTTTGGGTACATTGATTTGTTGGAGACTGGTGGTGTTAAGCAGGGGCTTTGCCATTGAGATAAATCTCCAGCTCTGAGATAAATCTCCAGCTCTGAGATTATTTTTTAAATAAATTAATTCTGTTTTATGTGCATTGGTGTGAGTGTCAGATTCTCTGTAACTTGAGTTACAGACAGTTGTAAGCTGCCGTGTGGGAGCTGGGAATTGAACCTGGATTCTCTGGAAGAGCAGCCAGTGCTCTTAACCTTTGAGCCATCTTCACTCCTCTGAAATTATTAATTTTTTGTTTATTTTTTATTTATGTGTGTGTGCACACATACATGTGTGTCTGAGTGTGCAGATGAGTAGCACATGCATCCCTGGTGCCTGATAAGGCTAGAAGAGAGCATTAGGTCCTGGAACTGAAGGTTAAGGCCATTGTGAACCATCTGAAGTAGATGCTGGGGACCAAACCTGGGTCCTCTGCAATCCTAATATACCCACTTTTCAATTTTCTTGAGATTTTATTTATTTTTCTTTTATGGGTAAGTATATGAGTGCCTGAATGTATGTGTGTGCATACATTTCGTGTGCATACAGGTCTCATGGGGGCCAAAAGAGGGTGTCAGATCTCTTGGAACTGGAGTTACAGATTGTTGTAAGCCACCATATAAGTGCTGGGACTTGAACCTGGTTCCTCTGGAAGAACAGCCAGTGCTATTTTTTATTATAATTTTTTTAAATAGGATATACTTTGATCATGCTTTCTTCCCATATCCTCCATGCCTTCCTACCCACCCAACCTTATGTTCGCCCTCCCTTTAAAAAAACAACACACAGTCAGCTGGGTTTAATGGTGCACACCTTTAATATAAGCACTCAAGAGTCAGAGGCAAATGGATATCTGAGTTCAAAGCCAGCCTGGTCTACAGAAGGAATGCCAGAGCCACCCAGAGAAACCTGTCTCAAAAAATAAAAAATAAACCACAAAAACAAAACAAAAAAGCAAAGTACATGCATGTGCGCATGCATGTACACACAAATGGGACGAATGAAAATCAAAATGAAACCAAAGACCAGTAGCACCAAAAAAGAAAAAATGCCAAAAGCAAAACGAAACAGAAAGTCTACCAAATAAATAGTTTTGTTTCAGGAAGACAGTGTTTCCTTGTAGACATCCTTCACCTCTGACTCTTACAGTCTTTCTACCTCCTTTTCTACACAGATCCCTGAGCCTTCAGGGAGGGCTTTGATGAAGACATCTCATTTAGGACTGGGTGCTCCAAAGTCCCTAACTCTTTGCACACTGCCCAGTTGTGGGTTTCTTTGTTAGTGCCCATTGCTGGGCTTGTGCCCTTTTTTAAATTGTGTTATTTCATTTGTTGCTATCTAGTTTCTTGAGTTCTTTATATTTTTGATATTAGTCCTCTGTCAGATGTGGGGTTGTTGAAAATCTTTTCCCATCTGTAGGCTGCTGTTTTGTCCTATTGACGTTGTCCTTTGCCTTATAGGAGCTTTCTAGTCTCATGAGGTCCCACTTGCTAATTTTCAATCTTAGTGTCAGGGCTACTGGTGTTCTATTCAGGAAGTGGTCTGCTGTGCCAATGAGTTCAGGCTAATCCCCATTTTCTCTTCTAATAGGTTCCATGTATCTTGTTTTATGTTAAGGTCGTTGACCCACTTGAACTTGGGTTTTGTACAGGGTGATAGATATGGGTCTATTTGCATTCTTCTACATGCTGACATCCAATTAGACCAGCACCATTTGTTGAAGACAAACATAAAAAGAACTTGTCAGCACCTCATGGAACATTATCCAAAATTGACCACATGTTTGGTTACAGCACAAGTCTCAGCAGGCACCTCCTCCTTTCACTGCAGTCTTTTGGGTTGGTTTGGTTTTGGAGACAGAGTTTCTCTGTGTAGACATCGCTATCCTGCAACTCACTCTGTGGACCAGGATGGCCTCGAACTCAGATTCACTTGCTTCTGCCTCAAAGGGGTGTGTCACCACCACTTGGCTTCTACCCTTATTCTTTAGATTGGGGGAAATTATCCTCTATGATTTTTGTTAAAAATATATTTTGTGTCTTTGACATAAATTTCTTCTCCCTCTATCCATATTTATTTGTAAATTGATCTTTTTGTAGTATCCCATATTTCCTGCATGTTTTCTGCCTGTAATTTTTATTTTAGGTTTAACATTTTCTTTGACAAAGCTAATCCTTTCTTCTACCTTCTCTTCAACCCCTGATATTCTTTCTTCCATGTTTTGTATTATGTTTGTGTTGTGTAACAAGGCTTCTCCTGGGGAAGTACAACAACACATCTACTTACCCCAGACAGGGAGCCCATGACAGACCAAACTACAGATGCCACCAAAGTCCACTTTGGTGAGGCAATAAGTTTTATTGGGGTTACTTACAGGAGCATAAATGACTCAAAGATAGCGACATCACTAAAGCTCACCCCAGCATGGGCGACATCTCACAAAATCTGGGAACCCTGGAGCACACTGCACTGCACAGCCTGCAGGCTATTCAACAGGTTAAAGAGCATGCCTTCCAGAGGCTCAGTTGATCTAAACCTGTATAAGGCAGGCTGGCTGGTTTCTGATGCTTCTGGGCGACTCGTTTGGTCTCAGCATCTTCTCTGCAACTTGACTTCTTTATTCCGAGAGAGGGGAGGCATACTGAATTTGGTCAGTTTCAGGGACTTCCTGAAGCTATTTTGAGTTGTTCACCTTCCTGCTTAAGGAGTTTCCCTGTAGGATGGTATGCTTCAGTCCTGGAAGAAACCATTACACAACACTTGATGGAGCTTACCTCTGAGGATTTTGTTTCACATCCTAAATATTTCATTTACAGATTTATTTCAATTTGCGTTTTCTTTAGTTAAATTTTTATTTCGTGTCTGGAGTTGTTTTCATTATTTCATTGAACTGTTTGCATTTTTACAGACTTTTTAAAAAATATTTATTTATTTATTAGGTATACAGTATGCTGCCTCCATGTATGCCTGCAGGCCAGGAGAGGGCACCAGACCCCATTACAGATGGTTGTGAGCCACCATGTGGTTGCTGGGAATCGAACTCAGGACCTTTGGAAGAACAGGCAATTCTCTTAACCTCTGAGCTATCTCTCCAGCCCCCATTTTTACAGACTTTATTAAGGGATTTATTCATATCTTAAACTCTTTAAGGTTCTTATATTCATAATTGCTATTTTGGCTTATACAAGTCCTTGACTTGTACTTCCAACATATGCATTTTCCAAGGCCTCCTGCTTTTTGGTGGAGACACATTGTCTTTGCTGTTTATGTTTGTGTTTTTGTGCTGGGATCTAAGCATCCACGTTACAGTGTCTGAGGTGCTTCTTGGTGTCCCTATCTGCTCTTGGCTCTGTTGGGTCAGAGATCTGTTCTTTTGGTATTGTTGCCCTCGCTGGATCCTGAGCGAAAGCCGTGAGTCTCAGAGAGTCCTGTGGCTAGTCAGGGAGTGACAGAAAGGAATGGCCTTGGAGGAAAAGCTTTGAGGTTTGGTGAGAAAAAGCTAAACTGGGTCTGCTTTGTGAGATGAAGCCCTCAGGGAAGAGGGACTCCTGCTGCAGAAAGAACTAAGAGTAAATCTGGAAAGAGTGTAAGAGTGCGGGAAAGATTGACCCTAAGAGGTGCCTGTGTTTTCCTGACCCAAAGGAATGGAGATAACCTTGAAGAGAAGACTGACAGCTGGAGAGAAGGGGCTAAGCTGGGTCTGCCCACAGCCAGTACTCTTAGCCACTGAGCCATCTCTTCGGTTCCTTTTCTATTCCTTTTCATTCCAAAGTCCATAACCCTAGAGAACTTTGTAGTTTGAGGGAGATTTTCTTACATGGGAGAATTTAGCATTCCAAGTTCATTCCCTGTTGGCTGGTTGAGTAGTAGATTTACAGGGCTAACTGATATCCAGAGTTTATTTTCTCTGCCCTGAGTCCCTATCTTTGTAATTCAGTTGGACTTCTTGACCTGGGTGTGAAGGATTTCCCTTCCCTGTAGAGCAGAAATAGCCTGGAGGCTTTTACAAGCCCAGCACCTGACTTTGCAGCTCAGTTCCTCTCTGTAAGCGTAGTTAAAGGGAAGGTTCAGTGACTTCGCAGCACAGGAGAAATACTGCCTTGGAGCTAAGCCTTTACCTTGCTCATCTTACTTTCCCATCAGCCCATCCCTCAGGTCTTGACAGCTAAGGGTGGCCTCACCAAGAGCTTGATGACCATCTCTGTAGCACAACAGAGTCACCTTTCACTTTTCTTAAAACAGCCTCACTTCCCCATTAGAAAGCATTGCCCATCTAAACTTGATAAGCTGAACAGTCAAGCTCAGAACAAAATACTGCCCTGCAGGTGATGTCTAGAGAGAAAGGGGGAGCTTCACACGCGTGTGTGTGTGTGTGTGTGTGTGTGTGTGTGTGTGTACACATGTGTGTACAATAGGCAACGCTGCTATACTGGCCTTTCTTACCCTTATCACTACTCTCCCTACTTAAGAGTAAAATTTTTAACTTGTTTTGTTTTGTTTTGTTTGTTTTTGTCATTTTGTTTTTAATTTGATTTTTGTTTTTTGAGACAGGGTTTCTCTGTAGCTTTGAAGCCTGTTCTGGAATTGGCTCTTGTAGACCAGGCTGGCCTCGAACTCACAGAGATCCGCCTGCCTCTGCCTCCCGAGTGCTGGGATTAAAGACACATGCCACCACCCAACTTTTCACTTCTTAAAATAGACAAATCTCACCTTAATTATAAAAGTGGGGCAGGGATAGTAGAATAATAAAGTAGGGGAAATCAAAGCTTGTCAAGGAAAATATGCAAAGTCATAAAGACATTTCAATGAACTGAGTTAATAAAAGAAAAGCTAAAGTGAATGATTTCTGTGCTTTTTGGTGTTTTAGGCCGGACCAGACGATATCAGGAACTTCGACACAGTCTTCACGGAAGAGGCAGTCCCCTATTCTGTGTGCGTGTCTTCTGACTACTCCATAGTGAATGCCAGTGTTCTGGAGGCAGACGATGCATTTGTTGGTTTTTCTTACGCCCCTCCTTCAGAAGACTTGTTTTTGTGAACAGTCTGAAGTTCAGAAACCATTGGGCAAATCAAGCCTGTGGAGGAGACGGAAACGCCGATTTGTGTGAATATACTCAACTATGTATAACAGTGCCTCATTTTTACATGTAATGTTGAAAACTATGAAATACATATTTTCTGCTGTAAGCAAGAAATAGGGCATTTCAAAGAGCTGAGTTTTGAACTGATTTGTATTCTTGTTTATTAAGCTTATTTTTAAAACTTTAAAGCTATTATTATTCTTAGCATTAACCTATTTTTAAAGATGACTTTTTGCTATTGACTGTTTTTTTCCTGTTAAGTTTACACTAACACATCCAAGATAGACTGTTGTTAATAGTCTGTTACAGCGAAGATAAGATGCATTAATATCTTTATACTTCTATGACTTTTATCATAGCAGAACTATGCAAATGGTACATGGGAGTTTAAGATGACGTCACTGTTTAGAATTTGCTTCTTGGTGAGAGTCGGATGCAAAGGCAGGTTGATGGCTACTCACGTGCAGCCCCTGGAAGACAGAATGAAATGAGATCTTTGCTTTTGAAACGCTCCGTTCTCACCCATGCATCACGGCTCCTCTTGAGGAGAAGAAAGGATTTGATGGGTCGAGTTTTCGGAATCCCCAAGGAGATGAGAAGTATAAAAATGCTGCCAGATGTTTTTAGTGGTGCCAAAAATAAATGTCTGTCATATATTTATATTATGTTTTCTATTTATGTTCCTTTTGACTCTTTGAAGGTTTAGTACACTGTTGAGTAGGTCTAAACCTTGGTGTCTGTTTTTGCAAATAGCTATTTCAAAACTGCCTTCCTAATCGATCAAGTTTTTAAAATGACAGGGAAAAAAAAGTAGGTTTCTATAATGTTTACCTAATTATGAATTAAAAAATAAAATAGCAAACCTGGGTCAGTGTAAATGTATGTCACCTGCTGCGCTGTAACGAAAGGTAACAGTGGTTTAGCAGATACATGTTCAGTACATACTCGTTTGGAAGTCACAGGGGTCACGTACACACGGCCTCATGAAGGCTAACACGAGTATTCTCTACGTCTAAAGTGCACACCTGCCTCTAGTATCCTCATGCATCTTAGAAAGAGTACAGAAAGCTGACCTGAAATCACATGTAAAATAGTGTGTGCATCTGTAATATTGGGTACAGAGAAACTATTTAAAAGGGGGTGCTTAGCTTGGGATCCCAGTTCTCAGAGGACAGTTTTTTCTGGCCCTTTAGAGAACAGTATCCCGAGCTCAGCTGCACTAAGAACTAACTTCCTTTGCACGTGTTTTCTCGACAAAGATCACAGAAGAGTTTCTCACCAGTACCTGCTGGCTTAGATGTGGTCAGCAGAACTGGGACAGGCAGCGCTTGGCTTTGGCAGGTGGTGTTTCTAGCAGGACACTGGACCCTCCTTACAGATGAAATGTTCCGTCTACACTGTACATATTTTATTGGGGGCACTTCCGTAAGACTTTACACAGTTTTTTGTTGATTATAAATCAAGACAAAAATTGTACATGTATGTTTTTTTACTTATATCTCTCAATTAAATTGCCAAAAATTAAAGTGCAGTATTGTATTTTTAAGAACAAATTTTAGATTTTTAATGTTTCCTGGATCACAAGAAGTACAGATCTATGTAGTATAATAAAATTATCAGAAAGATTAATGATCAACATCTAATTTCTGTTGTTATTTGAAATTAAAATGAATTAAGTGAATTGTTTTATTTTTTCAATATTTCTAATTATTTTTTATTTATTTTCCTTTTATGCACATTGGTGTTTTGCCATGGGTGTCAGGTCCCCTGGAACTGGAGGTACAGACAGTTGTGAGCTGCCATGTGGGTGCTGGGAAATGAACCCAGGTCCTTTGGAAGAGTAGTCAGTGCTCTTGACCACTAAGTCATCTCTGTAGCTCCAAAGTGGTTTGTGTGTGTGTGTGTGTGTGTGTGTGTGTGTGAGAGAGAGAGAGAGAGAGAGAGAGAGAGAGAGAGAAAAGCTATAAGTCTTAGTTAAATTATTTAGGTAGACATGAATTACTGGCTTATATATTGACATATATGGGTCAGAAAACAACGTTCCAAGTTTCTTTTCTCCCATCCTGTGAGTCTTTTCTTAAATATCTGCCTTTTGAACAGTGACTGTGTTATGCTAACTACAGAAACAATCTCAAAGGTCTAAATAAGGACTAGCTACAGTCGGAAGTTAGCCCAGCTTGCCTGTTTGTTTCTAGGGATGTCTTTCAGTGTAACCCAGCCTGGCCCCAAACTCAAGATCCTCTCTGCTTGGCCTCTAACTACGATTGTGACTTGTTACTTGGAGCATCTTGAAGTAAGAATTTGTTCTTTTAGGCACTGGCCTCTAAAGGTAACTTTTACTTCCTTGTTTTGTTGCAGATCATTCTCCTGAGAGCAGTAAAGGTTTGTTGCTAGGTGGAGGCCTCTTCCTAGTTGGGGGTCTCCCTGCTGGAGCCTGGTGAGGTAGGAGAGGCTCTTAGTTTCCTTCTGGGGCAATCGCCTTTACTTCCCCAAAGTCCCTCCTCCGGTATTTTCCTAGGGAATTTGTTGTACCCATGAGTTTTGAGAACACAGTAATATGAAACCAAATCATGAGTTTCTGGGGTCTGAGTGTCTTGAAACAAGTCACATTGTGTCAAAGGAATTAACAGGCAAAAGAGCCGTAACACCTGGGATATGTATAAGAATACTGGGCGGGGCTAGAGGGCAGAATCCAAAGTTAAGAGCACTTGCTGTTACTGCAGAGGTCCTCCTAGGTTGGTTCCCAGTACTACCTGGTGACTCTAAATAGCTTGGCTCCAGTTCTAGGGACTCCGACCCCCTCTGGCCTCCTCGGGCACCAGGCATGCACATGGTGCACATCCTCACATGTACACACAAAATACAAATAAATCTTCCAGATTTTAAAAAGTATATGGGTTCAGGAGCTGGAGAGATGGCTCAGTGGTTAAGAGCATTGCCTGTTCTTCCGAAGGTCCTGAGTTCAATTCCCGGCAACCACGTGGTGGCTCACAACCATCTGTGATGAAGTCTGGTGCCCTCTTCTGGCCTGCAGACATACACACAGAATATTGTATACATAATAAATAAATAAATAAATAAATATTTTTTAAAGTATATGGGTTCTTTCCTACTTTTCATATTTATTAAAATGATATTAAATGTTCTTCACTTCGCTGATAGAATTCCAGTTGGAGGTTTATCTCATTTACGTCGCATGTTTCTAGTTGCTTGACAGATCCTATAATTGTTCGTTTGCCGTCTTTCAGACACATTCCTTAGTGGGTAACAGATTGTATGCAGATAACTTTTCAGGGTGGGCAGGGTAGCTCAGCGGGGAAGGACACTTGCCACCAAGGCTGATGACCTGATTTCCGTCAATGAAACGCACAGAGTGGGAGAGAACCACAGTTGTCCGCTGACCACCAGGTGCACCGCATACACAGATGTAAATTTTGAAAACGTTTTTCGATTCTATAATGTTCGCTTTTATACAAGCAAATGAACTAAGAAAGGAAAATGCTGCACTATCTTCAAATACAGTTTTTGAAAATTTGACCAAATTGCGACAGTAGAGAATAATTTTAATCAACACTCCACCAAAAAAGCAAAGATACTGAGAGTCGTTCTAGAGCAGTGAAGTGCTCAAAGAATCCTCCAGTCCTAAAGGACTGTGGTTTACATGTGGTTGGTCACAGGATGAATGGTAAGCCGCTCCTTAGCCCTGCCCACCAGAACCACACCTGTTTGGCGATTTCCCAAATCCTCTCTTTACTCCAAAGTGATATCTAAATTTTTTATCATAAATTCTCTCTTGCCAGAATATGCATCTCATAGGCTCATTGTTTCTCACACCCACTGTACTCTGAGCAATTAATAAAGAGAGGTATTCAGTATTTCTACTTTAGTTTTGGTTAAATATTTGTGGGAACGTCTACAAAGAGTTGTCAATATTTAAATGTTTTTGTTTTAATAGTTAACCCGTGGAATGCAGAAGGTGGAAATACAGTACCACAGACCACACAAATGGCCAATTGGAATCACTGTTGGTCTTTTTCAGTTCTTTTTAGATAGTAAATACAGCCTTGCTGTTAGGTTTTTCTGTGATCCGATGGTAGCAATGAGTCACTCAAAAATCCCAGCTTATGAGCCAGCGAGTTAGTTCAGCAATAATAATGCTAGCTAGCCACCAAGCCTGATGAGCTGAGTTTGAGACCCAGGACCTACATGATGAAAGGAAAGAGAATTGACACCTCCAAGTTCTCCTGTGACATCCACATGTGCTCTGACATGAATACACATACACAGTAAATGTCATATTTTTTAGTTACAGCATATGATCTGTAGGTATTGATTAGTGGTAGAATGCTTGCCTAGTATCCCCAAGGTCCTGGGTTCGGTTCCCAACATGTATGTGTACATATATGCACACATTAGTTTACTGTGTTAATGATCTGTTGATGTTGATCACTAATACTTGTTATCTATTAACTTTAAAGACTTTTTAAAATGTTTATGTAGGGGGCTGGAGAGATGACTCAGTGGTTAAGAACATTGCCTGCCAAAGGTCCTGAGTTCAATTCCCAGCAACCACATGGTGGCTCACAACCATCTGTAATGAGGTCTGGTGCCCTCGTCTGGCCTTCAGGCATATACACAGACAGACTATTGTATACAAAATATATAAATAAATAAATATTTAAAAATAAATAAAATGTTTATGTATATATACACCACATGTATGCAGGTGTTATCAAAGACCAGAAGAGGGGTCAGATCTCCTGAGACTGGAGGTACAGGCACTTGTGAAGGATCTGACATGGGATGCTGAACTCTGGTTTTCTGGAAGAGCAACAAGTGCCCTCAACTACTGAACCATCTCTCTAGCCCTGATTGTTAATCTTAACTGAGAACATTAGCTCAAATACAAAAGAAAAAGAATCTGAGGTACCTTCTGATGAATGGGCCAGTAGCTGGATGATTTCACCAGTTACCTGGATTTTTTTTTTTTTTTTTTGGTTTTTCGAGACAGGGTTTCTCTGTGGCTTTGGAGCCTGTCCTGGAACTAGCTCTTGTAGACCAGGCTGGCCTCGAACTCACAGAGATCCGCCTGCCTCTGCCCGGCCAGTTACCTGGATTTTTTAAATTTATATTGATTCCTTCAGAATTTCATACATGCGTAGAATGTATTTTGACCTTATCCATACCCAACTCTGACATCCTCCCTCCCCCAAACTTGCCCACAACACACATGTTCCTCTCCCAACTTAACGTCTTTTCTTAACCCACCAAGTCCAGTTGATAGAACTAATGCATAATGTCTGCTTTTTGGTGCAGTTGATTGGTCTTTTGATCGAGACTGTTAGTTACTTCTAATCCCTGACATGTTGATTTCGTGGTGTTTGGTGTTTTTCCTCTTCTCTCACTTAAGTATTATTCTAACATGGGTTGTCTTTCCTGGAACTGCCGAGGTGGATTCATATTTCCCTTTGGTCAGAAAGATTTTGTGATTTATTTTCTGCTGAGCTGGCTTAATGGACATTCAGTTCCTTTAGCCTATTTTTATCATGGGAATTTTTTTGGTTTTTCTTCAATTATGAGAAACAGCATTGCTAAATATATATGTATCAGTTACTTTTCTGTTTCTGTAATACAGCATCATGACCAAAGACTACTTTGCAGAAAAATTTATGTTGGCTTAACATTTCAGAGGGAGGGTCAGTCATGGTGGGGAAGGCAGGAAAGTTGGAACAGGAAGCTGGCTGGGCACATTTTCAGCTGCACACAGGAAGTAGAGAGGGAACTGGATGTGGCACAAACCCTCAAAGCTCACACCCAATCATGTACTTCCTCCAGCAGGGCTACATATCCTCAACATTCCACAACCTCACCAGAGAAGTCCATATGGAGACCAGGTATTCAAATACATGAACCTGTGGGGGCCACCACAGTACAGTAGTCTGGCTGACAGTTGTCATTCAGAACTTGAAATGCATCTGTCTGTCCAGGCCCTCCTGGTTTTTAAAATTTACTTGAATAATCTGCTATTCTTCTGATGTGCTTACCTATATATGTTATAGGCTTAGCATTTCTCTCTTGGTACATTTTATATGTTAGTTCTTTTCATTCAGTGTTTTAATATGAGGAGGGGAGGTTTCATCTATTGTTTTGGTGTCCTGAGTCCCTCCTGTAGCTGAACTGGCATTTTCCTAATACTGGGCTGTTTTGATTTTTTGAAATTTTTTTTTTGTACTTTTAGACTGAGGTGGTTCTTTTATACCTATAACCATAGATTTGGTATTTCCAAATGTCATATATATCTTGAAATCCCCACTGGTAACCTTTTTACTATTTTATCTTTGTCTTTGTTGGATTGTCCTTGTTCTTCCCTCTTGTCTTCAAGCTCGAATATTCCCTTGAGCTGTCCATTCTATTGCTGAGACTTTCCACATAAGTTTTTATTTCAATTGCTGTTTTTTAAATTTCCAACAGTTCAGATAGGTTCCTCTTTGTTTAATTCGTCTTTCATATTACCCACTGCCTTTCTTACTCCATTCGGATATGTGTGTCTTTGAACATATTTATAATTGTTGGAGATGTTTCTGTCCCACCAGATCCCACAGCCATTTAGTCCCAAATAAACACACAGAGGTCTACATTAATTATAAACTGATTGGCCTATTAGCTCAGGCTTCC